TTACATATTCAAATGTTTCACTCCTTGCCAAATATATTATCCTCACATATTAACTAAGTTGTCCATTATTACTCTACTACACAGTATCTTTCATCATCAACTATATGCTGAGTTACCAAAAAAATTCCATTTACCACACAAGGTGAGTTAGGCCCCAAAGATTAATTCTTAGTGATCTCTTACCCAGCTCTAACGATCTTTACCTTTATATGACAACGAGAGGAAGTGTGATGGTCTAGTGGCTTGATTTCTTTATATCAGATGAGAACTAGAGAAATCATGATGGTTTTCATGGTTCTTATCTTATCACAAAAAGTGGCTGAGCCAGTACAGGTTTCCTGGTTCCAGTCTAAGGCCATGATCTACCTATGTAATGTTCCTGGCCTCAGTTTCCTTACTTGGAAATAAAGAACGATATCTTTCTTTAAGTATTTTTTGTGAATACATAAGTAATATATACACTGATTTCTGAAAATCTGGAATGAAACAGAAAAGTATAAAAATAACCCATAATTGTATCACCCAGAGAGAGCCACTATTAACATTACGGGGGTAGGGGAGTACAAGGAGACTAAACGGTAATGGAAAAAATACAATAAAGATTAAAGTAAAAAAAATTTTAACATATTTCTCTCTAGAAAAGGGAAAAGAGAAAGACAGGAGAACATGTATATATGTACAAATTAGGAATGTGATATACCTGGATGTACAGAGAAAAGTCAACAAATATTACTTTATGAAAATAAACTAAAACAAGGTATGAATGATTCTTATGAAAATACAAATTACATTAACTGACTCCAGAATAAACAGCAGAAAACCTGAATAGATCTATAATTATAAAAAGAAAAACAACACAGAACATTTGCAGAAACTTATTTCCACGAGGTAGGTATCATTACAATCCCCATTTTACAGAATGGGGAAACTTGAAAGGCTGCATGTCAAGGAATTAGCAGAGATGGGACTTGTCAATAGTTTCCGTGATTGCAATAACCATACTCTACGTAGGTCTGGACCCCAAAAAGAAAATTCTCATACTATGGCAGGGAAGTCATTTAACAATCATTAAACCAGTGCCTACTCTGCCCTGGGCACTGTCCTGGGTGCCGGGGATACAAAAATGAATAAGCACACTATGGTCCCTGTGTTCAAGAAGGTTCTAGTTGAGTCAAGACAGACACGTAGTTATATAGGCTATACTGCAACATGTTAATTGCTATGCCAGAGGCAGAAAAAAAGTATTGCAAGAGCCCAGGGAGTCTGGGAAAGGCTCAAACTGAACATATCGTTTGGGCTGGCTCTGGGAAGGCAGGCAGAGAAGGAAGAGAAAGGTATTCCATGCAAAGGGAACAGCATGTGCAAAGGTAAAATGCTATGCATAATCTGTATGTTGATTTCATTAAATCCTCTCTAAAAACAGTGCAAATAGACAGTAAGCTGATTTTGATAGAAGGCAATAGTTCTGAGTATCATTCTTTCCTTCTTTCACCATGACAAAAACTGCTGTTAGTTCACATTAAAATGGTAGCGATATTTGGCAGAAATTTACTGTATTCTTCCTTAATCAGTTGTCAGAGATTCTGCTATGCCATTTGTCTTCCAAGCAAGTTATTATGAAGGCTGTCAGTAAAGAGTAAAGACAAGGGTAAGCAATATATTCACGAAGTCAGCAGGGGGCTGAGAATCCGTTCATTCAGAATCAGCAGGGAGCCATGGGAAAATGCCTATTTATGCAAGACTATGAAGGACTAGCACTCAAAAGAAGAGGCAGGTTTGTAAGAAGCTAAGAGGTATTCCCCTAATTTAAACTCTCAGGAGCTCTCTATGTCTCCTCTGCTTATAGACAGAGAATGAAATAAAAGCAAAGCAGACATTCTGATATGAGTGACCTTAATTTTGACCACTCACCAAAACCTGATTCAGAGACTGACAAATGAATCTGATACTATACAGAAGGTCATGTGTATGGGTAATTAAGTCGACAGTCACATACCTCAAAATAGTTAACACTCAGTCTGCAGCATAGGAATTTCACTGCCTCACTCAGGCTATGAACTATGTGTGGAATTAAGAATTAAGATGCTTTGCTTGTTTTCCCTGAGGATCCTTCAGTTTGGATTAGAAGAGCTAAAGGAACAAAGTTTGGAGAATGACAAATTCTGGCTCCAAGGCTTACTCTTTATGGGACTTTGAACAAGTTACCTAGCAACTCTAGCTAATAATACTTACTTCACAAAACTGCTGTAAGGATTAAAAATGATACTTTATGTAAAGTACTGGCACATAAGTGCTCAATAAATGAGAGCCATAACAGTGCTGCTGCTGCTGGCTTTCTTCTTAATATTATTATTATTATTTATATCCAAGAACAGTCTAGACTTTTCCCCAAACAAAATACGTACTATAGGGAGAAGAAAATTTTTGTTGAGTCTAAATAATTATAAAGAGATGAATTATACTATGAATAAAAATATTTTCTGCTGATAAATTTTCTTTTTCACTGTTACCTATTATTGACAGAAGCAGATCCTGTTTTAGTTTCCCTTAATTTATTACACTTATAATTGCTCTGTTGTACTCTGAGAATCAAGATACAAGTGTCACCATAACTGCAAAATCTCATTTTACAGTGTACAGTTTTAAAATAATATTTTACTGACTAGCATTCTAGACATACATGGAAACCTGAAAGGTTTAAAATCTAACATTATTTTATTTTCCAAGGAACCCCTGACTTCTCAGGATGCGGCCGAAGTAGGACAGCTTCAGTTTTGTCATTTTTGTTTCCAGTGATGTTTAAGACTCACTTTGCTTTAGGATCCAGATAAGATTAATATTTCACATGAGGAGAAAAACCGACTTTACAATCATCTTTATATAGAATACAGCAATTTTGTTATCCTTCACTGAGATAACTAAAAAAAATCTCCTAAAGTATATATAAAAAAATGACTTCTACAAATACCATATGATTTCACTTATATGTGGAATTTAATGAACAAAATAAACAAAAAAAAATAGAAACAAACTCATAGATACAGAGAACAGACTGACAACTGTCAGAGGGGAGGGTGGTTGGGGGTTGGGTGAAAAAGGTGAAGGGATTAAGCAAAGAAAACAAGGAGGAGAAGGGGGGAAGCGGAGGATGAGAACAGGGCAGTGACAGGAAGGACGACAACCTCATAGACTCAACAGTATGGGGACTACCAGAGGGAAGGAGGGGTAGGGGAGGTAGGAGAGGGTAAAGGGGGGATAAATGGTGATGGAAGAACTGCCTTCGGGTTTTAAACACACGATATACTGATGATCATAGAACTGCACAGTGGAAACCTACATAATTTTATTAACCAAAGCCATCCCGATAAATTTAATAAAGAAGACTTCTAAAGTATATATTGAGCTTTTGAAAGTTAGCTTTATGAAGTAGAAAAAGCAAAGAGTTTTCAGGTTGTAACCTAGTTAGTTGTGTGGCCCTGTACAAGCTACCTGCTGAACCTGCTTCCATCCCCCAAATGGGGCCATAACTACTAAATCCGTCTGTGTAGAGAGATTTCCATTATAACAACTGTGAAGGAACCTGGCACAAAGCTGGAACTCAAAGTCTGTACCAAGGCTAAATATCCATTAAAGATCCAGGAACTAAGGGAAACACCAACTGAACTTTGGGGTAAATAATTCCAACTGTTTGATATACACTATACTAAAAATTGCTGCATTTTGTCAGCGTTCTCCACATTAATTATTTAATCCTCACAATGTTGTGGATACCATTTAAAGCCATGTACAGCTGAGGAAACAAAGGCTTTAGGAGATTAAGATACTGTCCAACACCATCCAACGTGATGGATGGAGGTTCTGAATGCAGGCTGCCTCCAAAGTCTTACTCACTTCTCCATAATGTCTCAATATACAGCATTTCAACCTAAATTCCAGATTCAACTCCTTAGGGCTGCAATAGTAAAACCGAAAAACAGTACTGCTCACAGTGAGTATTCTCCAAGGGCATTTACATTTATATTTAACGTTTCATATCTGAGCAAGCTGAAAGCCTGTACAGGGTAAAAACAAGAGAGATTCTAATCAATACTACTCTGTCAAGGATTAGTCCAGGATGGTCGTAACATCCCGCACCCCCTCAATTATAAATAAACGTACGAAGACTGTACTGATCTCTGCTGGCAATGCAAAAGAAACAGATGGACAGGGAGCCCACCACACCACATTGCAGGCTCAATTTGACTTCCTTTTTAATGCATTCTGTACTTGACTTTATTCTGTGCGTTTCTCTTCCCGTGGTCTAGTCTTGCTTCTCCCACATCCTTTAAAGTAGGCGTAAGGGAGCATTACAGCCCTGGCTGGCGGGGCTCAGTGGACTGAGCACCAGCCCAAACGGTCGCCGGGTGGATTCCCAGTCAGGGCACGTGCCTGGGTTGCTGGCAGCCCCGGTCCGGGGCGCCGGAGAAACAACCACACACTGAGGTTTCGCTCCATTTCTCTGTCTAAAAATAAATAAATAAAATCTAAAAAAAAAAAAGAAAGAAAAAGAAATGACCATTACAGAATAGAGAACAGCCAGGTAGAAGGGGACGGTGACAGAGGAGCCCCCAAATCACAGAATCTGAGGGAAAGTCAGGAAGAAACTCGTGAGCACCGAACTCGTTCTCCACGTGTAAAAGGACAAAGGAAAACCCCATTAGCCAAGTTAGCGACAAATCACATACGCTCTACAGTGTACAGGGTACACGGCATCCCTTCGCCAAACCCTAGAAGCAGGCGGTGAGCCCACCGGAAACCCGGCCGACCTTACTACTTTCGCACTCTCTCAAGGACCGTACCGAGTCAACAGGCGGAAGGCATCCCGTAGGCCCTCCAGCCTCTGGGAAGAAACGGTCGCCCGCAGCGTCTCTGGTTGCCAGGAGACCCTGACCACCTCCTCCAATCAGCACATATCTCTTTGCGTCCAATCATAGAAGCAGAAGAGCTGTAGTCGGAGGTTAAGGGTCACGCTGCTTTTTGGCGGCCATTTCTCTTGAAGCCCCGCGATCCGGGCTCAGCTCTAGGTTCTTCAGTCACGAGAGACTGACGAGAGCTAGGTCGGTGGCCAGTAACCTGCAGCATTTGTTCGTCCTCGCAATGGTAAGGAGTCACCAAGGGAGCGAGGGAGAGCGCGTGAATAGTATCGCCGGGCCTGCTGGTTGGTTCGCGCGTTTCCCATTCATACGCGCGAGGCGAGGCGCTGCGCAGCCGCTTGGCAGCCCTTTTCTCGCTGCCCCGGGGGTCTGAGTCCCGCGTTCCTTCCGCTGCTTTCCGCTCCCCAGGAGTGCCCCTGCCCGTTTCCCCTGCTGCTTCGTTTTGAATCTGAGCCTGAGGTATCCCTGCGGGGCGGGGCCGTAGGATCAGGTAAAGATGAAGATGTTTTTCACGTTCCACTCTGCAATGAAAGTGTGTTTTCATTCCACGGCTTTGGGACTCCCAGCCCCGTAGCACTGTGGACCACAGAGCCCAGGCTTTGGAGCATTGATTTCGTTTAGCAAGTATTTAGTGAGCGCATGCTACCTGCCAGATACTATGCGAGGCCGTAGGAATATGAGGTGAAAAGTACTGATGCGGACCCTGGCCTAGGTTAATTCTGTGAGGCTTGGGAGACATTAATCAAATAATAACAGAAGTATATAATTGCAAATAATATTAGGTGCTAAGAAGGACGCACACAGGAAAAGGAAGCACACAGGATGCTGTCAGGGGGCGCGTCAGTACATTAGAAGAGTGGTCAGGGGTGGCATCCTTGGAAGGGGAGGGATTTATTTAACCTGGCCTAAGTGATAGGACATGCCACCCCTTAAAGAACAGCAGGAAGAGTGTACTAGGCTCGGGGAACATGATCATTGGTCCTAAGGCTAGAAATAAGGCTCCACCACTGGGAGGAATTAACGGAAACCCACAGCCTCTTGCAAGAACAGTGGTTATGAGATAGGGTCGGTCGAGCAAGCCCTCTCAGGCCACATTGGGAGGTCTGGATTCAACTCCACCTGCAATTGGAAGCCACTGAAGCATTTTAAGCAGAGATATGACATGATAAAAATAACTGTTCGTGTAGATACTAAGTTGGAGAAATGCAGGGATAAAAACTGGACACTTCATTAGGAAGTTATTGCCGTAGTTTCCGTGCCCTTTGAGATCGCTCTGATATGTTTAGCTTAAAAGGGTTTAGTAGCTAAGTGTCTTGGTTCTTTTCTTTGGGCTGATGGGTGAGCAGAGGAACGAAGGAAAAGTGAGAATTACTGGGGATACTACTGCTTTGCTGAATAAACAAACGTTAAGTGATTAATTCATCTGTAAGAGGCACTGCTATGTCAGGTAAGTCCCAATCCTGGCTTCTAGAATTCAAGCACCTGCCGCCCCTTCATTCTGTAGCCTCATATTTGGGTCTCTGACAGCACTGTATTGTTTGTGTCCCAGACATCACCTTGTTGCTTCCTTCTTCCCTCCTGTTACATGTGTAGTCTCTGCCTAGAAGAGCTGTTTTTCCCCCCGAAAATATCTCTTGCCCTTTAAAATGGAAGCATTACTCATTTCAAGCAACTTTTCCTTTTGTCTGAGTGCTGAATTCATCTCGGCACCCTTTTACATAGCTCATCTCCTTTTGCTACATTGCAATCAAATTGTCTATTTGCGTGTGTTCTGCCCCTCCCCCTCCTACTGTGCGCCTCTTGAGGACTAGGACTGTCACCTGCATTTCTTTTTTCACTGTCTTTACCTTTGTTCTTTATAACCTGGAATAACTATTCAGTGTTTCTTAAAGGAATAATGAATACTTTTATAAGTTTTGATGGTTTGAAAATGAAATTGGCTAACTGGGTATTTAAATTTCTCTGATGCTTTTCAACAAATAAAAGTGGAAATTATGTGGGAGGCAGTCAAGAGTTTGCTTCTTTTGGATACCATAAAACATTGGTGATTTCGTAGCAGAGAGTAGGTGGTGGGTGCTGACCTCTGGAAAATAATTGAGTTCTTTTTTTGTTTTGTTCTGTGTTTTGTGCAGAGTTTGCCCCTCAATCCCAAACCTTTCCTCAATGGATTAACAGGAAAGCCAGTAATGGTGAAACTTAAGTGGGGAATGGAGTACAAAGGCTATCTGGTATCTGTAGATGGCTATATGAATATGCAGGTAAGCTAAAGAATTATAAAAATGATTAAATTGTATTTACTTTTCTGCATCTTAATCCTCTAAGGTTTAATGTGACTTGGGAGGAACAATCAGTGCAAAAATTCAGCAAAAAAGTCAAAGTCAGGGAGGATGTTACAACTATAATAAACTAGAAATGAGTGTTAAACTAAAATACAGCCATAGATTTGACTCCTAGTCTTAAAGTAAGAAGAGCTCAGACATTTGATTCATAATGCTAGAAGGGAAAGAAAAAGACTGGTTTGCAGAAAAAGAAAAACCTTTCACAGCATGTAGCTCTGAAAGAAATTTTTCAAGTGAAATTCTGCAGTCTTTTAATGAATGCCAAAGGCACGACATCATAATTCCATAAAAACATTTCTTGAGGGAAAAGATGTATCAGCCAGGTGAATTGATCAACTGCCTGCATGTTTGTTTTACTTTTGTATACTTCTGTAAATGTTTCAGCCAAGTTTTTTAAAAATTGTGATAAATTTTTTATATAACATAAATTTTACCACTAACCATTTTCAAGTGTGCAACTCAGTGGCATTAAGTATATTCACATTGTTGTGCAGCCATCTCCCTTATCAATTCCCCAAGTTTTTTTTTATCACCCCAAAGTGAAACTCTCTACTTATTAAAAAATAACTTGCCATTTTCTCCCGCTTCCAGCCATGGGAAACACTAATCTTTCTGTCTCTCTATTCTGGGCACCTTATATAAATGGAATCCTACATAATTTATCCTTTTGGCTAATTTAACTTAATTTTCAAAGCTCATTCATTGTGTAGCATGTATCAGAATTTAATTTCTTTTTAGGGTTGCAGTAATACACCATTGTAGGTATAGTCTGCGTTTTGACCTACATTTGAATTGTTGGACATTTGAATTGTTTCCACCTTTTGACTACTGTGAATAATGCAGCAAACATGGCTGTACAAATGTATCTGCTAGAGCCTCTGCTTCCAGGTGTTTTGGATATATATCTGGTAAAAGAATTGCTGGATCATACAGTAATTGTAAATTTTTTGAGGAACTGCCATACTGTTTTCCACCTAAACAGATGGTGCTCTCAAGTCCCCAAAATTCTTATACTGCGTGGTTGTCACCTGGAAAATTCCCCAAGCAGCAGTCATTTACCAAGGCCATAGAAAAATCTGAAAGAGCATATCCCATATACTAAAAATGTCCCAGACTTAGTGGTGATGATTATACAACTTTAAAAGCACTGACTTGTATACTTTAAAAGTGAATTTTATGTTATGGGAATTACATCAATAAAGGAAAGGAATGAAGACTACCCACCGAATATTTGGTTTTAAAAGTCATGTAACTTCCTAGTGAGCTTCCCAGTTTTGAGATGTACCCGAGCATCTACACTGATGACGTCTTTGAGTTTGTTCACTCAGCGCGCGTTTACTGAGTGCCCGTTGTGTGCCTGGCCCTGTGAATACCCAGTGAACAAAACAAAGTCTGTGTCTGCAGTGTGTGTTAGTGGTGGGAGGTGGTGATGGAAACACAATATGATGTGGTGTCAGGTAATGATAGGTGCCATGGAGAGAAAGAAAGCAGAAATGGAGTAGAGTGAGAAGAGCGTGCAGTGTGAGATAGGCTAACCGAGGACAGCCTCTCTGAGGACGTAAGTTTAAGCAGAGACCAGAGTTGCACGAGTAACTAAAGAGAGTGGCTGAAGTGAGAGCAGCTGCAGGAGAACATCCCATTTTGAGAGGAATGGCGAGAGCAAAGGTTTCGTGGTAGGAACTTGGTTGGTATGTTCCAGGCACCGCAAGAAAGCCATAACAGAATGAATTAGGGGAATGATGATAGAAAGGTTGGAATGGGAGTCAAAGAGGGCCTTTTAAGTGATGGTAAGGACTTTGGATTTTATTTCAAATATGATAGAATGCTTTGGAGCATTGTGTAATATAGAAAACAATTAAATGTTAACTACCAAAAAGTCACTTTAAAAAAAATTCGTTGACAGTAACACGTTGTTTCCGAGAGTTGTTACATACAAAACTAACTGTCTCAATAAACACATGTATTTCAGACAAAACCTCTCTGATACAGTAGGTTACTTTTCTTTTTGGGAGAGGGAATAATATCCAGTAGCGGTGTTAATTCATTAACAAGTTTTACATACCTTATCTCACATCCTCTATATGACTTATTTTTCTTCCACTTTGCCACTTCCCCAGCTAATAAACTTCCCTCTCCTTTCTTTCCTGCTCATGTCTTTTGTGAGTCCCAGATAGCATGTATTATAATCTTTAAAAAGTTGAAATTATAGTTTATTGCCTGTTTGTAGAAGGAAAGCTAAACATTTTGATGTAAAATTAGAAGTAATATAGTTCCCTAACTATAAAGGTTACTTTTTAAAAACTTTTAAATGTTTCACACTTGACAGTTGAAACATGAAGGCTTTCATCAAACTTTTAAGTCCCTAAAAGATCCCTTTGTAAACAAGTGTTTATCACATAATAGGCATGTAACCCACCAGCCACAATTCAGTAAGGAAAATGTTGAGTTTAAATATTTATGAATGAATTTCAAATCCTCATTCCTAAGGTGTTCTGGGTCAAAATTTTTTGAGTTCTACTTTTAATTAAAGTATAATTGACATAATTATTTGGTCTTAGGTGTACAACATAGCAGTTTTCTCTATATAGATCTTGCAGAGTGATCACCACACAGTTCTGTAAACAACTGTCACTGTACAGTTATTGTGATATTATTGCCTATATTCCTCATGTTGTACGTTATATCCCTGTGATTTATTTTGTAACCAGAAGTGTGTAAGGTTACTCTACATTGTTTAACCTCCTTTTCAGAACTTGTCTTTCCTTGCTTATTAGCATATAATTTTTTAAAAATTTTAAAGATTTTATTTATTTAGAGAGAGGTGAAGGAAGGGAGAAAGAGGCAGAGAAACAGCAATCAGTTGCCCTGACTGGGAGTCAAACCAGCCACCTTTCAGTTTGCAGGATGATGTGCAACCCACTGACCCACATCAGTCAGGGCTAAAAAAAACTCTCATTCAGCTCTTTGGTTTGGTTGGTTGACTAATATAAAGTATTTTAGTTACAACTTTTGTGCACCCATTAGGTTCCTCAATATGATACTGTAGTGTAAAGTTATTATTCTAAGAAAAGTTAATGTCTGCTTCTGTAAAACTGAATTTTTGGAAAACTTTTTAATCAGTTTATACATAAATTGGAAGGCTGCCTTCCTTGACACATTGTTTTAAAGTCTACTAGAAAGAAATACTACACAACTGAGATTTTTAAAATTATGTTGAAACAAGCTTTATTATATAGTAGCTCTACAGCCATCAGTGTTAGCTTTACCAGATATTTATATGAAACCAAAAATACTGCAGTAGTAACAGAAACCTAATCTTAATATTAATTACAGAAAAATACAAGTCATTGGGATAGAAAGGTCTCAGTTAAGTTCTCTCACCAGTATTTAGTGTGTTTTACTGTTTTTCTTTTGTATTATTAATATATTTTCTTTTTATTTAAAGCTTGCAAACACAGAAGAATACATAGATGGAGCATTGTCTGGACACCTGGGTGAAGTTTTAATAAGGTAAGAAAACAATAGCATTATACGTAAGGAGTTACTAGTGAGCATCAGAATTACCCATGTAAATGAACTAGCTTAGTGCCTCAATTTCAGAATTATTTTCTAATATCACTATTAATTTAACATAATATTCTAAAACTGCACTTCAGGAGTCTTTGAAATTGTTAAACTTGTTAAAGATTTAGGTATTTTGTAGCTATTCATCCTTAAGATTTTTCTTGTATTAGTATTAAACTTTCTAGATCTTAGCTTTAACTTTTTTTTAGTGGTTTTAATTATTAGGAGCTTGGTTTTGAATTTTAGTTGGATCTGTCTGCTGTTAGGGACTTTTGTTAATGCTCATTTCCTAGAACTAACTTTACTTCCAAATTGAGGTCATTATTCCCTTTGGAAGATCATAAAGATACCATTTATAATCACCATGTGGTACAAAAATAAGTGTCATGTGCTTTTTAACAAATCAGTAGTAAAAACATTTTTTTAAAAGAAAAAAATGCTATATTGTAAATTTAGCATTCTGTATTTTTGTAGTGAAAATAATCTAGTAATCATAAATCAGAAATATGGTTTCCTGTTGGAACAACAAAATGGACTGTTTTTCTATTTACAGGTGTAATAATGTCCTTTATATCAGGGGTGTTGAAGAAGAGGAAGAAGATGGGGAGATGAGAGAATAGCATCTTTTGTGGGGAATTTTTTTTATATATATTTCTAGACAATAAAATTTATGTGTGTTTCAACTTGACTTGTGAACTATTCATATTCTGATATTTACATGCAAAACTCAAATATTGAAACAGTTGAAAGACTATTCACAGAAGTAATGCCCTAAAAGCAACCCAGCTTCATTCAATTTCATTTTCTTTTGTAAGCCCAAAACGCCTGTTTTTGTATATAAAGGAAGGTTACATGCTTATAAATGTTTATGAAGGTGAATTTCAGCCCTTTTCTTGTAATTGTATGTTAACTGAGACCTTTTAAAAGCAACTTTTTTTAAGTTATTTTTGAGCCATTTTTGACATTTATAAAGATAAATATTTTCTTAGAATTAACATATATTATTTTTCTTTGTAGTTGACAAATTACAGTGTAACCTTAGTAACATACACGTATTATAGCTAAAATTAAACATCAGCTGAAAATTGATTGTGGATATAGAGCACAACAGAAATTGTGAACTGAAATGTAGGCTGAAGACACTGTTTGTTCATTACGTTTCTGAACAGTATTTCTTAACTTGAATTAAAAACTGTTCTCAGAGTTATATTCTGAGAATGTAACCTAGTGGCTTTCATTTACGTTTTAAACTCTTGAAAACTCTTCACATGTTTTAGAGTTGTACATTATTAAAATGAATACGCCACATATTCCACAGTGATAAAATGTGTACTATGAACTTTCCTGTGGACTGGTTGGGGAAAAAATCATTTAAAGTCTCATGTTGTCAGAGAATGCCGCTATTGCGGTGTAGTGGTCATTCAGCATAACTTTGGATCTGTATTCCCATCTGGGACAACTCAAAGTATAGATATAAAATGTTTAGAATAATATTTAGGCTATGGGTGATAAAAGCCTTCAACAAAAGAAAATAACTTCCATTTCCTATAACCATTAGAACAGTGGCATGTCTTCCTCAAATTGGTTAGCCCAGCATATGGGGCAGAATGTTGCCATTACTGTAAACCAGAATCTATAAAATATGCCTAAACATTGTGCTAATGTCTTACTGCTCCTATTCAAGTGAAAAAATACTCATCCTCTATTGATTTTGTTCTTGTAGCCTTGACTAAAAGCAGTTCATGTTTGTTACCAGATGGAGGTTTTGAGCGATAGACAAGTCGTCTTCCCAGCTGAAACAAAAGAAAAAATAAATATTTAGCATAAACTTTTTCTATTGAAGAATAAGGAAAATACTAATATTAACTTGATTTTTTTCCAAGGAAAAATATGGTTTGAAATAGTAAATAGTCTGTTACAAAGGGATTTGTAATTTAATGGATGTGCAACATGTTAGACAAAGTAAAGTAACATATGGAGGGCCATAGTATGCAGAAGGCAAGGCAGTTAGGTTTTGTGGGAAGTGGGGGAGGTTTAAGGTAAAGTTGTTTCAGACGTGGTCAGGAAGAACCATGTTTGAGGCCACAATTCATTTTTCAGTAAGTGTCATAGCTAGTTTTTCTTCCATTGGTTAGAGGAGATCACTTTGTTCTGCTGAGTAGCAGTTGAACAGCATTTAGAAATCCTACTCATTTTTGAACAAAAACTTGAGAAAACCATGTACTATCTTAGACACCAGTAATTCTGTGTGTTGTCACCAGAACAGGCTTAGGGAAACCCATGGTTTCACACCTCTTCATTCTCTCTCGAGCATACACTCAAATATTATCATACTAATTATATTTGTCTTTTAGTCTTTTCTCTGTAATCTTTGTTTTGTTTTGCTTTTACATCTGAGTTTGTGTCAATAAGCGAAAACCCTATTATTATGTATTCTGTTGGAGGTGAGATTTGATGGGACATCACCATTGTGTCCCAACCAGGGGCGTTACCCCTATGTGAGACCGTCCCTTGCATTGCAGAACATTCGGCGTTCCTGGCCTCAGTGAACTAAATACCAATAGTGCTCCTCCCCGTAATTATACTAACAAAAATGTCCTTAGGGGACTGTTAATCCCGGAATTCCTTTTCTAAAGTCAGTGTTTTTTCACTGTCGGTGATCTCCTTCGGAAACTTTTGTTATTAATACTGTCTGAAGTGTTGATGGAAGGAGACGACCTGGGGTGGTGAACACACGACACAGTGTACAGGTGATGTGTTGTAGAGTTAGACACCTGGGACCTACATAATTCTGTTAACCAATGTCACCCCAATAAATTCAATAAAAAGGAAAAAAACTAAGAATATTGAAGTGATGAAGTGTCCCAGCTGGGTAGGAATTCCTATCCCAGGTTTTTATACATTGTCAACTTAATCAGAGCACCATTTTTACTTTGAATTCTCTTTGAGTTTTTCATTTTCATTTTTAGTCTATTAATTCAATAAGCATTTGTCGAGTATCCACTATGTGCCAGGCACTGGAGACACAAAGGTCATAAAATTCATTCATGGTCTAGGAGGAAAGATATATTTAAGAGTAATCATTTCAATTTTGTGGGTTTAGTGAAGCGTATATACATGTGGGGGGTTAATTCTCCCTTGGGAAGAAGAGGACAAGTCAGGGGTTCATGGGAAGAGTTGAACTAGAGAAGAAGTTCTTAAGATTTTCACTTCTTAAAATGAAATGCTGATTTAAATAAAAGAATTTAAGGTAATCATTACTTTATGACATACATATGTATAATTACCGTACTTCGGAACTTTTTTCAAGTACTTACCGCAACAGGTAGGTAGTGAGGTGCACAGTAAACATTTGCTATGGGTTTGCTGTGACTATGTTAAGAATCAATGTCCATGTTAGCTTTGTAGATACCCGTGAAATTGGGTTCCTGGAATATCTGTCAGACCCTAACCTAGAGAATGGAGAGTGTCATGGGGACCCACGTCCATCCACACCCAGCGCGGAGGCACGGGTTGAACCATGCCCTCTCAGTGACTACCCAGTCCCAAACTTCTTCTCACAAGTAATCTTGCAACGCAGAGAACTTTGGCTTCTGGTCCTGATTCGTCTTCTAAATCTGAAGTGACACTGAGTATATCATTTTAACTTAAACTATCAGTCTCGTTATTTTTACAATGTGAGCATTAGAAGACCCTTCCAGTTACATGTAATTCTCAGGGTTTGCTATCTCCATTGTTAAGTAAAAGAAGCAAAGTTCATAGCTATCATTTGTAAGAAGAATATATACAAATACGTAGGTTATTTCCAGGAAGATGAAACTGTTAGCAGTTGCTTTCAGGGAGGGAAACTGAGAATAACCAAATTTTCACTTAATACTCTCATATCTTTTGAACTTTGAAACCTATGCTTGTACTACCTATTCAACAAGTTAGTCCTTAGAAATCCTCTGGTTTAGTGAACCTGGAACTAAAGAAAGAGGAGAGGGCAAGTTTCTTTTACTAAAAAGACAAATTACTGGTTAGATAGACTGTTAACCAGTAATTTGAATTATTCTAAAAATAACAAGGAACAGGAGAGAAACCAGTTGAAGCTGTGAGCAAGAGATTTCACTGGTTTAACATGAATAAATTAGACAAATTAGATACTTTGTTTTTATACCACAGAAGGACTCACATGTAGCTGGGCCTAATCATAAAACACAAACCTTTTTCTTTGGTTGTGCTACTGCTCTTTCCAGAGCAGCTTTTAGCCTTTCTTCTTGGTGTCTTTGTTTTTCTTTCATTTTCTCTTCACGTAACCTGTCAAGAGGGGGAAAGTGTTCTAACTCTAAATCACAGAAAGTAAAAAAGACCTATATCATTACTATTTGATCATGAACTATAAAAATATTGTAAGATTTCCATTAAGGTTAAATGAATAAATCATCTTCACCCATAACTATGGCTTTTGAGTATTTGGGTGAAATCTCAGCAACACATCCTGTTTGTGTTGAAATGGGAAGAAATTGCTTGTCACCATTTTGGAAGAAGTAAAAATCTACACTATCTTGGTCTAAACAAACACCTCAGCAAAGCCTTCTCATCACTGAGATTTTAGCACTTCACAGTAACCTGTATAATGGCCACTTGAATCAACTTCCGGTTATCTCCACCTCAAACATTTTTTTCTGAAATACACAGGAAAGATCATGTGAATTGTTCAATGAATTACCTCAGAAGTGCATTTTTCAGTTAATCTTTTTGAATGGTATTCTCAAATTAAGACCAACAAATGGCATTTGGTTTTGTTTTCTTTCAGGTTGTTGTGAGGATGAAATTAGATGAGATGACCTAGCCAATCTGTCTACTCCAATGCCCGGTGGAGAATAGGCATTCAATAAGTGATAGCTATTTTATGGACATTCAATTTATCAAATGTTTTTTATGCAAGGTTAGTATAAAGTTAGGTGCCTCCAAACCATAGGAAAAATCAACTAAAATTGTCTTGATAAGAACAATAAACAATTGGAATTAGATTCATGTATCACTACAGAAAGTAAGTTGTAATTACCCTTGGATGACAATTTATTTCTTCTTATAAAAAAGATACAAGTGTTATTAGTGTAATTAATCACAGGTCATGTTATAGAAGAAGTCATCTTTCATTTATAATAAAAAAAAAATTGCTTTATATTTTATGTAATTCCATCAGGATCACCTTAATATATTCTGGACTTCATTTTTATATGGGGGAAGCAATATGCCCCACACATCAGTAATACAGTAAACAATAACAAAATATCTAATATTAGTGGTTAATTATTTACCATGTGCCAAACATACTGTATCATTCTTACATAGATCATTTAATTTGATCCTCACAACGAGCACTGCAAGTCATTCCTGCCATTATTACTACCATTTTACAGAAAACTGAAATATAAGGGATTATTTGGCTTGCCTTAAGGTCACAAAAGTTGTCAAGATGGAACCTCAATTGAGCCCAAGTGGGTTAGCTCTCGTGCCCATCCATGCTCCTAGCCATAGTACTAGTCTGCCTCCCAACACTTTGTTTTCTTTTTTTTGCTATAACATGAACATTATTGCACCTATGAACTTTCCCTACATGCCACATTATACTAGGGGTTATATATTTATAATATTCATTGCCTGAAAGGTAGTATATAACCTGGTATGGAAATTATTTGTAGATTGGTGCGTTCTTCTGAAAGGCCCCAAGCTAAGGGACAGTGTGGGTTTGTGAGGGTGGGGTACGTTTCAGGGATGCAAGTGCGATGTATGGAAGTGTTGGCACAGAGAAAAACCCCGTTGCATGGCTCTTTCAAACAACTTCGTAGATTCAGTCTCCCTGCAGTTTTCCAATGAAGGGCTTCTAATCTGTGCCATGGGATTTTCATCACAAGTGTCATTATTCCACATGAGAGCTTTTCAGAAATGTTTATGAAAGTAGTGAATATTCACCCCGAAAACTCACTTTTCCAGGCTAAAAGGACCCCTTATCCATCCCAGGGTAGGTTAGTTGGTGAACTTCCTGGCCCCCTGGCTCCACTCCTTCACAGTGCTCATGTTCCATGGGTCATGGCAAATTTGTTTCATAAGAATATTTGATGAATGTGTCTCTCCACTAAATGTTAGCTCTCTGAGGAGGGCAGGGCTGGGTTGGGTTCCCCCCACTGTGTCTGTGTGGCCGTCCTTGCCATGTCAGAGAGACTTGCTAAATGTGGAATCCAAGTGAAAAACAGCTACTCGTTAAGTCACTCACTACACTTATTTAAGATACTGTACTTTTGTCGTCGTTCTTTCTGTTTTATCCTCTCAATTGCCTCCACATTTTCTTTGGGAATGGTTTCAATGAGATCGCTCAGTTCTACCAGGCGCGACTCTATTTTTACCAGCTTTTGGACTGGGTTGAGGCTGCCAACCTCACCATCTCCGATGCAGACTTTGTATACTTGATTAATTTTTTTACTAAGAGAATCTATCAGTTTTTCCTGAGAGTGAGAAGAAAAGAAGAACAGAGAACAACCTCTCATCACTATTCGCTTGTTTAATAAATGTAAAGTTCTGTTTTACTATATTATAATGAAAAGGTTTTTATATGCTACCAAATGTTTCTTGTTTAAAAGAAGAACGTTAATGCTACATAGAAGAGGGAGAAAATTCAGCGATGATATTTACGACGTAATTTATAGTCAGATCATTGCTATAGTAACACTTCGGATTATTTTCTTTAAAAACATTTCAACCTAGGCCTAAAAAGTAATTATTATTGTAATCTTTTTGCTTGAGTGTGTATCTGATTCCCTGAGTATTTAAGTAGAGACAACATACACGTTTTAAATCTTATTTTGTCACTCCACTGCATCCTTGCAGCACAAATGTGAGTTCTTTTTATTTTTATTTTTTGCACTTATTAGTCTAATTGCTAAAACTAACCATTTTGTATGATAGTTTTTGCATGCATGTCTTATCTCCTTCTCTAGACTGTAAGCACCTGGAGCGCAGAAGCTATTTCTTAGGTTGACACTTATATCTCAAACAGCACCTTGCACACAACTATACACTTAATAAATGTTTGCTGAATAAATGAATGCATTCTCTCAGAGGAAAAGAATTACAAGCACAGATTCCAGGCTGACGTACAAAAGCGTGTGGAGAAGCTTAAGTTTCAATCTCTCCATTGGGAACCCATTGCAGCGTTCTAGTCTAAACAGAGGCTTAGGCCAAACCTGCTGATCCCTGTACCTGGCTACTGTTCCATTTTAACAGTTGGTAGATATTCTTGAGCTTGCAGAGACCGTGTTTCGGGATCAAAAGAAAAGTCTCATCCTTTTCCTCCATTGTGCACTCGGCATTCATATTTAAGAGGATCTCAATAAACTGCTCGGCCCATTTAATCGCTCTCGAGGAAACAGCACTCTGCCCCAATGCCTGCTTCTGCTCAAGAAGATGAGAATCACCATGAAGCCAAGGATGGATAATACTCAAGACAGATGTGACTCCCGGAGTCATGGGACTCCTTACAGAGCCACCAACAATTACAAGATCTGTTACCAAGTATTTACTTCCAACAACTTGTCTCTCCCACTTCCTACTTTAACCACCTTTTTGATGGTCCTATTTACCATAAAGCCCACCTTTTCCTTTCTACATTAACACTTAACTGTATTTTCTATTTATACTAAAAATAGGCTTTTTAAGAAAACTTGGAGAAGTATGAAATAATATAAAAGTAAAAAAAAATGCAAAAGTCTTAAAGCTCCTTTTTTTCTCACCCTTTCTAAAGAACATTTATGATATTTCCCATTTATATTAACAACACATTCCTACAGAAATCTTTAGAAATACAGAGAAATACAAAAGGAAAAAAGTAACCCATCAAGGGGCTGAAATGTACATTAGACAAGAAAAAATATTGCTGCAATACGAGTCATTTTAAAAAATACATTGAGCACTGGTTCTAAGAAAAAAAGCAACTTTAATATGGGAATGGTTACTTGACAAATTTCTAAAGGAGACCTCTGGAACACTTAAGCGTTTTAGAGATGGATGGGCAGTAGCTTTTCAGGATGTCTTTTCCTTTAAGTCCCTCCTGTCAAGCAAGAGAGGAAAAGACAAGGAGAGGTGTTTTCTTAAGGTAAGAACAGCATGAGAAATAGGATTAGGGAATGAGGTTAAAGAAAGTACTCAGGAAAAAGAGATTGAGGGCCTGGATCATCCTAGCAGAAGGGCAAAGACAAGATTGAAGATACACACCTACTGAGGACGGAGAAGCCAAGTGTCAGTCCAATCCCTAGGTCTGCCACCAGAGGGCAGGCCCAGCCCAGAGCACCCCGGGTAAGGGCTGGGAGGGATGAGAATAAGTACCTGCTTCTTGAGGTACCGTGGGGCAGGATTGTGGAAGACTAAATAAATACCAGGAAAAGAAATTTGGGTACCTTCCAACAGGATGGGAAGTGATCTGACCAGAGCAATGTTTATAAGGAATAATTGTTACCAAAATTGGCTAGGAATGGGGAGATGCTTAGATGTCATTTAAAGTTCCAACTCAAGGATTCTATGTCTAATCCATGTCACATTCTATACTGTGTGCTTAATATAAACAACTCCCTGAGCTGAACTGGATTGAAAGGAAGGCTAAACTAAAGAGGAATGCATTCTGCAAATTGAACAATGGAATAATTTACATTCCATTTCACATCCAGTGGAAATGAACAAACAACTGCTACACAAGCATGGGTGGATCTCAAACAATGTCGAGAGAAAGAAGCCAGATAAACCAGATGTATTACACAGTTCCGTTTATATGAAGTTCAGAAGCATAACATCTGATTGGTGGTGGGAGAGGTGAGGATAGTGGTCACCTTCAGGAGAGGGTAACCAGAGGCTTCTGGGAGTGCTGGTAATGGTTTCTTCCCTGAGGAAATCGCGAGATACATTTATGATTTGTGCACTTTTCAATATTACATTGTACCTGAATTTAAATTTTTATTATACACGTAGCATTAAGTCAGTGAAAAGTATTTTATGGGATGAGGTACAGTTAGGAATGCGGAAGTTTTGAAAGAATAAAATTTATCGTTATAGTTCCAAAGTAATTGATAATTTTGTGAATATCAAAATTAGGTGCAACTATGTTTATTTACTCGTTAAGTATTATGTTTTGCACATATTGAGATCTGAATGAATGGGAGTTGGCAAGCAAGAAAATTCTAAGAAAATAATACTTTTCCCCTGACAGTTTTTTTGCCCTCCTTCCCTTTTCCATCCCAGTATTTTACATTTCTAGGAAAGTGTGCATTTTCCCAGAGTATAATACATGAATGCCAAAGCTACACCTGTGACCAAAAATCTCACAGATAGCCTTTTAGAACCGATTTTCAGATAAACTGCACCTTCTTTGTTTAGGGATCTGGTTGCCTCTAGTTTAAGAGTATTGAAAATGTGACTTTTTAAAGTAGCTGCCCTGAACTTGGAGGAAAGGGGCATGGTGGGAAAAAGGGGGCGATAGCACATTAATCTTGCATTTTTCATGTCAATCAGCTTCAGAATTACTTAAACAGAATGAAGGGTGGAAACAAGCCAGGTGTCCACCAACAGATGAATGGATAAATAAAATGTGGTAAATAAGTGCAGTAGAATATTTTTCAGTCATAAAAGGCATTCTGATACATGTTACAACATGGATGAACCTTGAAAACATGCTAAGTGAAATAAGCCAGACACAAAAGGACAAATATGATTTCACTTATATGTGGTACCTAAAACAGGCAAGTTTATACCGAAAGAAAGCAGAATAGAGATTTACCAGAGGCTGGGAAGATAGAGGGATGGGGAAATACTGTTTAATGGATACAGAGTTTCTATATGGGAATGGGAACAATTCTGTAAATAGTAATGATGATTACACAATATTGCATATTTAACACCACTGAATTGTACACTTAAAATGGTTAAATGGTAAATTTTATGTTATGCATATTTTACCACAATAGAAACAGTGGTTAAAAAAAACAGCATTGAAGAATTGAAAGATAGCTGTCATCACACCTCTTGCTCTAGCAGCACGCGACACCACCCCCTCCTAACTCAGGGTGTGTACCACCCCAGGAGAGGTGCAGGTGGGAAGGGGTGCGTTTTGTAACCCCGGTTACCTATGGGTAGGGAAGCACAGTCCTCTGATACAGTTCCCCCAAGTGTACTTCTGCTTGAAGATCAAGCTCATAACCATAAATGTAATATTAACCTCACATATTAGCACGAATTTTTATTTTGAGATTTTTACAAGAAAACCAATGTTTGCTGGAGTTGTGGGTCTAGCAATTAACCTAATCATTCATTCAACAAACATTTATTGAGCGCCTACTTTAGGGACACTAAACTTAGCTAAGAAGGGTAAGAAATCCCCACCCTCAAGGGGTTTGCATGCAACTGGAAGAGACTAATGTGTAAATAAATGAGTACATTACTGTGTGTTCCAGGCGCTCCTATAATGAATCTATCTATGCAGGCCCAAAGAAACCAAAATCTATTACAAGCCCAGAGTTGGTCAGATATTCCATTCAGTGTTGATTCAGTGCTTCCTCTCTTAATTATTTGCTCCCCAAGTTACTACTAAAATGATCACAGGCAATGAGCTACTGCAATATGTATACACTCTCACTAAAAGAAATGTATCATGAGAGGGAAAATTTCAACATCCTACTTTGTAATAATTAGAGCAACATTTTAAGAGAACCCTGGTGCCAATTTGAATGCTTTCTATCTACGATGTAAATTGACTGTTATGTACTGACAGGATCATTCCAAACTGGTTTTCTGCCCTTGTCATCAGCCTGGGACTTGTGGTTCACTTTCATTCTCCCATTCCAATGCTTAGTACACACGGAGTGCAAATTATTATCATGAGCCAAAATAAAATCACCACAGGCAGAGAAGGCTTACCTGGGCATCTGAATTAAATTCTCCAAAACTAAATAGCCTGGACCTCAATTCCAGTTCTGCTGCTTTTTCCTCTTCTCTTACACAGTTAGCCTTAAGCATTTCCTTGTGCTCTAAAAGAAACTCTATGTTGCTGTTTCTATGGCAAAAGAAGAAAGAAACCCTTGTCTGTAATGTGTGGTTCAGTGAAATAAACCGTCAGGAGCTTCAGCACTCCTTCCAGATCGTGCATTAGCATCCTATGTCTAGCAAGCCAAATCCAAGTTCATATTTTAAGACATAGCCAAAGTACATGCACCTTTTCAGGTTAAAGTGAGAAAAATGCACAGAGTCTGGTTTTAATGGCCATGAGGAAGCACTTTCTTCCCTTCTACTATCGTACTTTCGTGGTCCTCGATTCCCCCCCATGGAGGGCGGCAAACCTGAGGTGCTGGGAGCTCACGGTGTGAGATCTAGTATGTCTGTGTTTTCAAACACGAACACCTGAGGAGCCCAGGGTTAAACAGACTCCTGGCTCCCTCCCCTGGAGGTTCAGATAGGGATCTAGAGATGGATTTTGACATGGATCCCCTTTTCCTGCCCAACCAAACCCACCCTGTCCCCCAAAATCATATTGTCAGGGGTAGGGGCACCGTATCTGTGAGGATTGGGAGAGGAGACGGGTTAAAAGGATACATTAGTGATAACAGGAGGCTGTGAGGCCATGATTTTTAGGTTCGTAACTTTTAAACAAGTTAGTTTGTTCTGAAGTTTAACATCATTTGACCTACTATTTGAAAAGATTGCCAAAGTCTGGCCCAGCCAACCATTCTGAAAAAGGTTCTACGCATTTTTATGATGGGTAGATATAAAGATCTGTTCTCTGTGACTTGAAGCTGTTTACCAAAATTATAATGATATAAAATTTTACAATAGGAAGGAATTTTGAGAGTCATCAAACACAGCGTCCTTCCCCTGACAGAAATCCCTTCTATCGTTGCCCTAACATACTGACATGTACATTATAAAATGATAACAATATTTAAGTCACACACACACAAAAAGCAGTTTTGCTGAGGAGAGTCACAGCTGAGGAAAATGCATTTGTTAGCATTATCTCCCAAAACATGATTTGATAAGACAGATGATAGGGTAAAAATTATAGTGAACAAAAATTAAGGCAGTAGGGGACACATCAGTTTTTTTTTAAATCTTTTTTTATAGCTAGGTAGAAAAATATTTTGACAAATTAAGGAAAGTAGGGACTAAAATTAAACTAAAACCAGTCTACTCTGTGTAAATATAACTTCAACTCTTTATACCCTACAATGTAAACTATTCATAAAACTTTCACCCTAAATCCAGAGAGACCACAAGGAAAGACCACACATGAGTACATTGGATTTTTGTCTCTGATTAGAAATTGCTTAATAGAATAAACCTTGTTTTAATTACTTACATTTTATCCTGTATAAGTTTTTCTCTTTTATTCACATCTTCAAGATTTTCATCTACATCTTGAGAATATTGTACCAAAGTAAGATTCTGCTCTTCCAGCTCTGTGAGGACTTGAAGCAACTCTTCTGGTTCTTTGAAATAAAGCTCTGGCTCCTAATCAATCAATAACGAAGACTATAGTTCACTTAGAAATATGTATAAGGACATTTGACTTATCTAGAAAACTATGTTCTGGAATATAATTCTGTTTATGAGGGAGAGGTAGAGAATGGCAAACGAACCTATTTCCACGTAAGAGCTGGCCCTCAGGAGAGGACATTTGAGATATGGGGAGATGAAAGGTATTGGGCAAAAAGAAGAGGGTGAGGGAAAGAGAAAGAAGCAAGGATGGACAGAAGAGGCAAGGGAGAAGAAATAGATAAAGATGGGGCTAAATGAAGGTCATCTGATCTTTAATTATTTTATATTTTCCAAAATTTTAAGAATAAATGTGTTGTTTTAAGTAAATTTAATTTTTAAGAAGATTATTTGGGTATTTATACACCCATATTTGTCATATTTCCTATAGCCAAGGGATGGAAATACCTCAATGTCTGTCTGGGGATAAATGGATAAAGAAAATGTGGTATATTTGTACAATGGAATATTAACCTTAAAAAGGAGGAAATCCTGTCAGATGCTACAACACAGATGAACCTGGAAGGTATGCTAAGTGAAATCAGTCACGGAAAGACAATTAGTGCATGATTCTACTTTTCTGAGGTATCTAAAGTAATCAAACTTTTAGAAGACAGAACAGTGGTTGCCAGGGTCTAGAGGGAAGGGTAGGGAGTAGGGGAGTTGTTTAGTGAGCACAGAGTTTCCGTTTTACAAGATGAAAAGTTACAGAGATCTGTTGCACAGCAATGCACATGTAGTAACACTACTGTGCCAGACACTTAAAAATGGATAAGATGGTAAATTTTATGGGTTTTTTTTACCACAATAAAAAAAAAAGTGTATATAATAATGGATGTTGTTTTAAAGTGTTTTACTTTTTTTGTTCATTTTGAGCTTCTATAGTTGTGTTTAGGCTGGGGTTAGCTCAAAGACACTCTTGTAGCCAGGAAGGGCTGTTCTGTTGAAGGTAAATTTATCTTACAGTTCAGCTACTCAATATATCTCAAGCCTCAATAAAATGATAAGCAGTCAGGTCAGGGAGTGACTCTATTGTCTACAGGAAGACTGTAGATAATATATATCCCCTAAATTATTATCTACTTATAGACATTTATTTTTGATAAAATATCTGATGACAAAGATGAACTATATATACAACTGGAGAACAACATCAAAATCATATTTTCTTCTAAAAAGTTGTGGAATGTTTGGAGTAGGAAATTTTAATATTAAAAGAAAAAATGAGTATTTCAATCGAGAAATATAACATGATTACCAGATCATAGCCCATTTCATCATCTAAACTGTCTTGTGAACTTAAACTTTCCGATCGGCTGTAAAAGAGAAAAGAAAAAGAAAATGCCTGATTTCTGAAACTTCTAAACTTCTGAAACTTCTATATTTGCTTTCACTTCTAAATTTTCTTTGGACACTAACTATAACATAGTTTTTTTCAATAGCCTCTTTAGCCTTTTAAGGAACTGCGTATTTCAGGAATCAATGGATTCCATGAATATGTAAAAGAAAATTAGACTCACCCAGATGAGGGTGACATATGCAAACAATGAGACATATGCAAACAATGAGACCCAGTATGGGTAGGGCTATACCACGCCATTCCCATTATTTTAGGAGCATCAATAGAATAAGATAATTTTCTAAAAAGAAACACATGGCAGCCTATATAGCCACATCCATTTTGTCTGTTTTAATGCAGTCTTCTTGAAAAACCGCATGTGCCCTAGTGCTCAAAACAAAGCTTGTACCTGGAGTAATACAATACTTGTTTCTTGTAAGAGCACATTTTATTTTTTAAAATATTTTCCAATGAGTAAATGTTAGCCAGGGGATGGGTGATAAGATACATCCTTAAAGAGTAATTATGTGGCTTGCAAAGAGGCTCTGGGAAAATTCTTTATGAAGGATATATTGAAAATGATTGGAACACAAAGAAGCAGGGGCTTTATTTAAAGTAGAGGGTAGTGATGATGGGAAAAGTGAGTAAGTGGGTGTGGCGAGGGAGGACAGTTAGAGTTACATGAAAGAATGGAATCCTGGAAACCAAGCATAGAAAGAGCTACTGGGTACAGAAGAGAAGAGACAAGGATGACTCCGACATTCATAATCTGTGAGCCTGAAATAGTGGAGGTGGCGCTAACAGGAGGGGAAACAGTTTAAGGATGTAATAAGAAGATTAATAGTTGTTTTGTTCATGTTGAGTTTGAGGGGACAAAATACTTAACTGGAGCTGCCTTTTAAGCAATGGGAAGTAAGGTGTGGACAAAGAATAGGCCATAGGAAGACATGAATATTTGGGAAACATCCTCTGAGAAAGTATATGATACTACTGTCTTCCCTTCTCTTCTCAATATGTATTTGTTGAGTGAATAAAAGGAACCTTGAAAGTGATGAGCTTTGTGAGGAAGTGAATGTAGTGTTTGCATATTACCATGTGTATCAATAGGGTGCAGAAAAGGCATTTGGCAAAATTCAACATTCAGAAAAATCAGTATAGAGAAGCCTTCTTCAACCTGATAATCTGAATCTACAAAAATCCTACATCTAACTTTCCACTGAATGATGATAACCTGAATCATCTGAAGACTGGGAATAGGCAGGGGTGCTTGCTTCCACTACTCTTATTCAACACAGAAGTTCTACCCATACAATAAGGCAAGAAAAGGAAATAAATGCATACAGATCATAACGGAAGAAATAAAACTTTGCAGGTAGCATGGCGGTCTACATAGAAAATCCAAAGGAAATTTAAAAAAAAAACAAAAAAACCCCAAAAAACAAAAAAACCCAAAAGAACGAAAACAAAATTTCTAAAACTAATAATTGAGTTCAGCAAGGTGAGAGTATAACAGATAAAAATTCAACAATTGTATTTCTATATACTAGCAATGAACATAAAGACATTGAAATAAAAAACAGTATCATTTACAATTGCTCCAAAATAAAAAATAGAGAAATATTAAGTGTAAATTAAACAAAATACACAGAAGACATATACAATGAAAACTGCGAAGTTGATGAAAGAATTGAAAAGATGTAAGTACATGGAGAGGCAAACATATGTTCATGGTTGAAAAGGTAATAGTGAAAACATCAGTTCTCTCCAAGTCGATTAGAGGGTTGTATTAGTTTCCTAGGGCTGCTGTAACAAAGCACCACAAAGGAGGTGGCATAAAACAACAGAAATATATTCTTTCATAGTTCTGGGTGCTAGAAGTCAAAAGTCAAGGTGTCAGCAAGGCCTTGCTCTCTCTGAAAACTCCAGGAAAGAATGTGTTCCAGCCTTTCTCTTAGCTTCTTGTGTTGCCAGTCATCCTTGGCATTACTTGGCTTGTAGAAGACTCATTCCAAACTGTATCCACGTGGTGTTCTTCCTGTGTCACTGTGTCTCTTCTCCTCATATAAGAACAAGAGTCATATTGGGTTAAGGGTCCACTTTAATGACCTCATCTTAACTTGAATGTTTATAAAGGTCTTGTTTCCAAACCAGGTCACATTCATAGATCCCATGGGTTAAGACAGTAACATATCTTTTGGGGAGACATAATTCAACCTATAATGAGATTTAACGTAATTCCTATCATAATTCCAGCAGGATTTTTTTGTAGGTATAGACAAGATTATTCTAAAATGCATATGGAAAGACAAAGGAACTAGAATAGTTAACATAATTTTGAAAAAGGGAAATAAAGTAAGAAGAGTCAGCCCTGGCTGGTGTGGTTCAGTGGATTGAGTGCTGGCATGCGAACCAAAGGGTCCCAGTTTGATTCCCTGTCTAGGGCACATGCCTGGTTTGCAGGCTAGGTCCCCAGTAGAGGGCGCATGAGACGCAACTACACATTGATGTTCCTCTCCCTCTGTTCCTCCCTTCCTCTCTGAGAAACAAAGAAAGAAAAATCAGTCTACCTAATATCAAGAGTAATAGCTATAGTAGTCAGGACCATGTGGTATCAGTAGAGGTCAATGAAACAGAATAGAAAATACAGAAATAAACCCAAACAAATATGCCTAGCTGATTTTTGACATAGGTGCCAAAGCAATTCAGTGGAGAAGCCATTTCAACAAAGGTGACAGGGCAATTGACATCCACAAGCAACAACAACAACAAAAAACCAACTCAATCGAAACTTCATACCTTGTACAAAAAATAACGCAAAATGGATCACAGACTTAGATATAAAAGTTTTATAAAAAAACCTGAAAAAAATCTTTGGAATCTAGGGCTAGGCAGAGTTTTAGGCCTGACATATAGCGCATGATTTATAAAAGAAAAAATTGACAAATTGGACTTCATCCAAATTTAAAAGTTTTGCTCTATGAAAGACCCTCTTAAAAGGATGAAAGGACGGTCTACAGACTGAGAGAACATATTTGCAAACCACAAAGTCACGAAGTACTAGTATCTAAATATATAAAGAACTCTCAAAATCCAACAGTTAAACAGTCCAGTTAGAAAATAAGCAAAAGACATGAATATATATTTTACCTAAGAGGCTATAAAGATGTGAGCAAGCACACGAAAAGATGTTCAACACCATTAGCTACTACAGAAATGCAAATTAAAAGCAGAATAAGATAGATATACACATCTATCAAAATATCTAAAATAGCAAAGTAGTGAAAATACCAAATATTGGTGAGGAAGTAAAGAAATGGGTCCCTCATAGAGTGCTGGTGGGAATGTAAAATGGTATAGCCACTCTGGGAAACAATCTGGCAGTTTCTTTAAAAACTAAGCTGGCTCAGCAGTTGCATTCTAGGTATTTTATCCCAGAGAAAGAAAAAATTATGTCACACAAAAGGTTGTATAGCAATTTTATTCACTATAGTGCCAAATTGGAAACAATTTGGATGTTTTTCAATGAGTGAACAATTAAATTATAGTGCATCCATACCATAGAATACTACTCAGCGATAAAAAGGAACAAACTATTGATGAATCCAACAGCTTGGATCAATACTCAGAGAATTATGTGTAGTAAAACATCCAGTCCCCAAAAGTTACATACTGTGTGATTCCATTTATAGAACATTCTTGAAATGATAAATATCAGAAATGGAGAACAGTTTAGTGGTTGTCAGGGGCTCAGGGTGGAGAGAGTGAAGTGGATATGACTATAAAGGGCAACACGAAGAATCCTTGGAGCATGTTCTGTATTTGACTGTACGTTGACTGTGGGAATGCCAATATCCCGGCTGGGGTATTGCATTACAGTCCAGTTAGAAAATAAGCAGAAGGCATGAATATATATTTTACCTAAGAGGCTCTAAAGATGTGAACAAGCACATGAAAAGATGTTCAACACCATTACAATGGCAAGATGTTGCCATTGGGGGAATCTGGGTAAAGGGTACATGGGATCTCTCTGTGTTAATTCTTACAAATCCATGTGAATCTACAATTACTTCAAAATAAACATTTAATTCAAAACAAAACAAAGCCAGTGACTGCTAACTGCCGCAGTGCCCCTGGAATTCAGAGCACAGTGTCTGTCTGCGTTGACTTTTGTTACGTATAATTGTCATGTGTTCTGTGGTGCTGGCCCAGAGCCTTTCCTTGTGGCCAGTGTACCCAACCTGGGCATCAATATATTTTCTTAAAACTCCCTAGGGATAGGAAGGGTTAAAACAAACAATAATGCTTTATGGTCCTACTGAGGCAATTTTTGAATGACAAAGTGAGTTGCAAATACACCGACCAGCAGAGTAACTTAATAAACAATTGAGCAGTAGACCCTGAGAGGCAAAGACCCAAGAAGCAAGGGGCAGGAAGTTTCTGCAAATACCAGTTGTAGGCACTTCTCAAAGACTGCAGGAAAGCCTGCAAAAGCTCAGTCCGCTCGAGAGCACACAGAAATGGCAACTACTACCTCCAGTATCTTACAGTGGGTGTGGCTACGTGGTCTGTATGTTGAAGAAAGCCTAAAAGAGATATTTGCTCAAAAACATTGTTTCCAAGAGAGTTCAAGTATGTACTCTACTTTGATAAGGAAGACTTGTTATTCTCTAAGGTGCGAGTGGACTTCTTGCGTGGCTTTCCTGTTCAAAAGGTCCAGGCGAAGTCCATGCCATTGGTCATGGTGGAGGTGAAAAGAAATAACATATAATTAGAAATTAATCCTTGTTATTTGGTGCAAGATATTCATTGTTCTGCATAGATACACCCATTGCTTTAAAAAAAGTATTAGAATTATAATCATATAGAAAATGGGGCTCTTTTATTCTACTTAAGTTGGGTTACAAGCCTAAGAATAAAATCAAAGGCACACTGGTGTTGCGGGGAGCATTTGTTAAAAAAGATACATGTCACAAATCAGGGACATAAACTGTGAAATAAAAGCCATAACTTTTATGATATATATGATTTATGAAATCATATATATTCCTAATCACAGATTTATTTTTTTTTAATTGGAGAAAAACGATGAACACTGCCATCTTATGGGGAAGCCTCCTGTTGCCACATGCAAGTTGCCCATGTGCTTGGTCCTCCCACACCTCCACGCACGTGGTCTCCACCCAGCAATGTCTGTGCCTGATCCTGACCTGACACTGAGCTGGGGGTGAAAATGGTCCCCTGGCTCCCAGGTGTCCCCAGATCCTTTCCTCACACCCGCGCTGTCGTCACTTCCAGTCACTCTTCCTGCTACTCTGCCTTGAAACCACAGCAGGCCTTACTCTCCCGCCCTCTTTCCCACATTAGCTGACAGGTCCACCACCTGCACGTTGAGAAGGGCGCCTGCTCTGGTTTTACTCCTGTGAGTGAAGTCACAAATCTCTTGTGCTACCTTGGTTACTTGTGGCCACAGAATAGTCATCTGAAAATGACAGCTTCCTGAGGTCCTCAGTACTGGTTTCTTCTTTCCTTGCATTTAATTCTGGAAATGGAAAATAAAGAGAGTGGGAAGAGAACACTTCTGAGAAGGAGAGCATTGTCTGAGTGAAGAGGCAGTTACTGTAAAAACTTCCCAGAACAGAAATATAAGATGGGACCATCATGACCAGCAAATGTGAGAAATAGAAGGCAAGGGCTGGTCTCTGGAGCAGGCGGAATGGATTAGGACTGATCTCCAGGGCACGAGGGGTCTCTATTTCCCACATCTGGCTGTCGTAACCTCTAAAATCCCAGTGTCCTTGCTGGTCCCGGCATGGGTTTTCATGGTCAGCAGCCTTGAGCTGGCCATCGGGTCACTGGGATTTTAGAGGGTACGACAGCCAGATGTGGGAAATAGAGACCCCTTGTGCCCAGTGTTCCACTCACTCCTCTGGGATGAGCGACTCGTTGCTTTCTGAGCGTCCTCCAGTTAGATGGCCAGTCTGGGAGCGCTGAATCTTAAGCTGTTAGAGGTGAATACTTCTCACTTTTCCTTTCCATTTGTTTTTTCTTTTGTCAGACATCAGCACTCTGCTCGCTCCATATTTCATACACATTGATCCAATTGAACCCCACTCAGCACAGTGAAAGACACAGGGGAACTGGGCAGGGCAGCCATCTGTGGTGTGCGAGTAAGTGTTTAACGACCAGCTCTCTGGAAGAAAATTCTCCCTGATTTGTAGTTGACTGATTTCTGTGAGGTGAATGTTCTTACCCCAGAGTCTCAGAACCAGCTCTCAGGCGACGACTTTGCAGGTCTGCAGAAGTTTCTGAAAAGCCCTCTCCTCTTCAGCGCTCTGCTCTAGGAGCTCCAGCCACTGTGCCCTCTCTGCACCTGCTCTCTCTTTTCAATTCACGGGGGCTGCTGGGCCCCCCTGGGCTCCCGCTTCCTCAGCTGCATCCGGGAAACTCTCCCCCGGTGGGACGCAGAGGCCATCGTGGGGCTCATCCCCCTGTGTTTCCTCTCCGAGGAGTTACTTTGCATCACTCCTCGTGCCCAGCGTCTGAAAACTGTTGCTTCATGTTTTTCAGATTTTTCAGGTAGGAAGGTGTCTGGTTCTTGTTACCCCAAAGTTACTAGAAGCAGAAGTCTTCCCTTGTGACCCCACTTTGATCACTTACTAAATTCTTAAATATAATAGGATCTATTTCCAGTTCAATGAGTCGACTTCCGAACACCATTACCATACTGTTTCAATTCCTGAGACTCTGTGATAGTATGTTCTCTATCTTAAAGGATTGTAACAAGGAATGAATGCACTATACTATATAAATCTACCCATACGGATCTTAGTCAACGTTAAACTCAGCTTGTTACTCTAACATGATTTTTCTCTCAAAACTAGAGCTTGCATATTAAAAGTTTTTAGTGTACTTCATTAGTGAACTTTTTAGTGTTCAGCAGTTTCAGTTCCTGTGAGAACCCAAGGAGCGGTCTCACCTCGAGGCCCCGGCTAACACCAACGGCTCGGACACAGGAAGGCAGCTGGGGAAAACCCGATGGCCAGCTCAAGGCTGCTGACCATGAAAACCCATGCCGGGGCCAGCAAGGACACTGCCCGCAGGTCCACAGCCCCCAGTCCGGGGATCTCTTTGTTCTGCTTTCTCTCTCCCTCCTTATAAACACTTCTGCCTGCCCTGAGGTGTTAAGATCAGCTTTGGGATGAGAGTTCCCCATCTTCTGAGGTGGCTGGCATTTGAATAAACCACTTTCCTTTTCACCAGCGCCTCTTGAGTTTGGCTTCGGTTGCAGCAGGCGGCCAAACCTGGGTTTGGTTGCAGGGTTAGCAACAGTAGCCCGTCATTACCTCCTTCCTTCAAAAGTATTTCTTTCTCTAGATGAACCTCAGAATCATCGTGTGAAGTTTGCCCCACACCAACGCCTAAATCCCTGACACATTTTTGGTCACATTTTTATTATAATTCCATAAAACTTATACATTAATTTCAGAATAATTGGCAGCTTTACAATGTCACCTTTTCTTCTCTCTTTTTTTTTTTTTTTTGACAGGGACTGGTTTTTTATTCACCAGGTGGGTACACCGGTTGGTTTATCAGAACACAAAGCGTTCTCACCAGTTTTCTGGGGCCCTATCACCAAGAACTTCAGTAAGCGATCACAGGTTTTCTCCTTCGACCAAATGTCTCTGTGGCGCTTGTCATCACGGGGATTATGCCAGAGAGGGTCTTTTTGATCCAGAAAGAGTTCAAAATATTTGTGAGCCAGCTGCGCTGGGGGCAGAGTCTGCAGGCGCAGGTTGGTCCAGCTCTGTACGAAGTTGGCCAGGTGCACGAATGTGTAAGACCCCAGGCGGTCGTTCCCGTAGTTGGACAGATGGGTCATGAAAATGCTGATTCTGGTCTCCGGCAAAGGCAGGGGCAGAGTGGGCTAGAGACGCCAGAGAGACTGGGAAGGAGGCCCTGGTGAGAGAACTGAGAGAGCAGCCGGCGGGATCCTGGTGCTGACCCATCCCCATGCGGCAACAGCCATCTTGCTCAGGCAGAGACCACCACACTGTCACCTTTTCTATCTAAAAACATGACGCTTTTCTCTATTTGTCAAATCTCCAGGTCACACAATTAAGGTTATTGTTGCTTACTTGGGTTTAATTTCCTTGAATGTTTTTTAACTAATAAAGTTAGCTTATTTAGGTTAATATGTTAAGCTAATAAATATAATTCACTTTGTAGTCATTTACTCAAATCATTTTTCAGGTCTTTATGGGTGGGTGGTTCTAGGTATGCTATCATATCATCTGTAAATAATATATTTTCTATGCTCCCATGTATATATTTTTATTGCTTTATAACTGAAATTAACCTGAGTTTCCAAATTAATAATATATAATATCAGAGACAGTGAGAACCCTTGTTCAGGTTTTGCTTGAAATATTAACTACTTAATATATAACAAACATTGAAGTCAAACAGTTTAGAACTAGGGATATTTACTTAATTGAAATTAAGAATGTGTGACTCACTTGTTAATATTTTTGGAAGAGTGCCATCCATATTTTCTTTACTCTTTGACACCTGCACCCTTTTCAGTGCTTGCTGGACTTGCCAATGTTTTGGAGACAATTTCAGCAGAAAAAGTCCATATTTCCTGTACTCTCTAAGGAGGAATTCTGTTTTTGATATTTCACTACTCAAAGGAAATGAAGATATGATTAGATATATCCGTGTGAAAGCATATTCATTGTTTTCAAAAAAGTTTTCCAAAATTCATTCTTTTGATTATGTATTTATTTAACAAAAATTCTAAGTGTGGCCATAAAAATATGGGCATCAATAAGGTATGAGATGAAAAGAAATAACCTCTAGGAAATCTGTTGGAATAAACATGCCCCAGATATGCACAATTAAGATAGACTGATGACAGTTGACTCTACTTATTTATTTCTGAGGAAAATATTGTATTAAGTGTGAGACACAGGGAGAAGTTAGAAGGTAGCAAAAGATGGTACTTGTTTGAGAAGAAAGGAAACTAACATTCAATAGCACCTACTATATACTGGGAAATATGCAGGACATGCTACAGATATAATTTCATCTTCAGCACACCACATTAAAGTAAGTATTATCATTCTGGCTGGCGTGGCTTAGTGGATTGAGTGCTGGCCTGCAAACTAAAAGGTTGCTGGTTCAATTCCCAGTCAGGGCACAGTCCTGGGTTGCCGGCCAGGTCCCTGGTTGGGGGCATGTGAGAGGCAATGCATCTATGTTTCTCTCCCTCTCTTTTTCCCTCCCTTCCTCTCTCTCTAAAAATAAATAAATAAAATCCTTTAAAGATATATTAAATTTTAAAAAAATCAAAATAAAATAGGCATTATTATTCCTATCTTTTGGAAGAAGAATGACTTGCAAAGCCATCTGTCTGACAAATGGCAGAGCCCCACTCAAACCTGGACTGAAAGCGCCTCCCCCTGCCTCACTTGGATTTCCCATAATCATATTTCAAAGCAGACCCAAAAGGATTGTTGAAAATAACAACGAAGGCCCTCACGAAAGCAAACTTCACCCTTATCCTTCAAAGTCTTCCTTAAACACACCTTCTTCGATAGCCTTATCAACATTCCTCCTGTATCAATATCTTCAGCTTCAGTACTGCTTCCAGCCAGAGCCTTCCTGAAGCCCCCGTGTGTGAGCGATATTGAAGAGTCAAACGACATGTTTTCTTCCACGGTCCAGTGTACCTCACCTGATCTAACTTTAAATATCTAAAGGAGCTCACAGATCACCAGTTGCGAGATGTTGGGAGCCCCTCATTGAACCATCACTTACTTTTTTAGATGGAAAGCTTCCCAGGTGTGCTACTGAGAACGGGGTTAAAATGGCTAGAATTGCGCAGCTTCCAAGCAAAAGCGTCAGAACCCGCCCCCTTTCCCTCGTACACAGGTTTCCAGCCCTCCCTGCAGCGGAGGACCAGGGAGGCCGTAAAGAGGAAGGAAGGCAATGGAGACGGGCGCCTGCATCCCTTGCTCTGTTTCCAGCTTGCTTTTCCATGACCTCCTGCACCTTGCTGAGAATATGAGACACAAAAACAATCTGCGAGTTCTCTTCAGGAAGGCTGTCTGGAGCGTTTAACTGGGTGGCCACTGTGCATAAATGCAACACTTTATTCAAACACAGAGGCTGCTGCCCTAGTTCCATAAGGAGACAGAAACTTCTCGTTACATTGTGGAGTGAAGGAGGGAAGGGAATGCTCCACCGTGGAGCGCCTTCGACATGGCTCCTAACATAGGAGAGCCTGCCATAGCCAGAACGGCCTTGAAACACACATTTTGTTTGTAACAACTGGTTTCAGAGAAACCGCCCTCCAGTTCATTTGTTGCATTGTAGACAAGCCCTTGTCCTCTTCCCCCAAAAGTCAAGGGGGTAAGTCTAAGTCTAGGACTTGGTTTTAGAGCAACACTAAACATTGAGTCCTCAAAAAGAAAGAATAAGTTTTAGCATGCTTTGATACCAAAACCAGAGTCTCCTGGATCATAAAATCGCTGTCCAAGGACGAGGACAGCAGTTTTAGATATTTAAGTTTTAGATATTTAAAATGAGATCAAGTGAGATACATTTGACCGTAGAAGAAAATGTCCAGGTTTGGGGAGGAAAAAAAAGTGGCAAGTGGTACAAAAATTTTATCTCAACGCCTGTTTCTTTATTTTTGTCATTATAGATCCATTTTTAATATTAATGCTAGGCTCATCTAAATGTAAGGATAAATATAAAAAATACTGCCAATTATAATTGCAAGATAATTGTAAAAGGAATCCCTACTGCAGAGATGTTAAAATGTGGGAAGAAGTGTGCCTTAGAGTGAAAGAAAAAGGACACTGAGAAAACAATGTGTTTACTCCTAATATTGGTTCTCTTCTTTTCAACTAAATTTCTTGGTTTCTATAGTGACAAGTTAGAGAAACGTTTCAGCCCAGAGATCACTGTACTGCCCTGATGCCCAGTCAGAGACGACACTTGAGCAACAGGTTACTCATTTTAAAAATGTGGTCATACTTATGAAATCGTCCCCTGATGCGGATTTTTCCCACTTAGGTCTTGCTAAGCACAAACAGGACTTAATGGGGCGTGGGCACTTGATGAGACAAGGACAGCGGCCCAGACTCACCTTTTCACTGCCTGCACCTCCATACTCGCTTTCTTCAGCTCAGCCGTCATTTGGAGCTTGTTTATAGTCTCTTGTGCTGCACTGAAAAGTAACAGAGATTTGTTTGTTTTGTGTTGTGTTGTGTTGTGTTCCGAGAAAATAAAAAGAAGGAAGACGGAGGTAAAAAGCGATTTGGCTACAGAGGAAAAAAACGAACATTTTAAGGGCATCTACAGATCGCTGGTCATTTTCTCGCAGGAACTCTTCGAAGGCCACCGCATCTTCCTGGAGCTTTGTTTCTGCTTTTAGGACCTGCTGTTCCTCTGTCTCCATGTGTTTATCAAACTTTGTGATTGTATTCCTTTTGGTTGACAGAGCATACTAGGAACATTGAAAACAGAAGTAGCTCAAGAACATTATTCCACATGTCTAGCACATTTCAACAGTTGCATAATAAAGGGGAAAATAACTTGCGTTGTAAGTGGTCATTTACACTTACACTCTATGTATCAGAAAGAATGGTATGCCCAAATCTGGGGGCTATGGCCGTTATTTCCTGAAGGATTTTTATTTGGGAGACAATTAGAAGGGAGATCAATTCCTCTCTTTCACTTTTATGAAGAGGCTCAATAGCCTTCCAAAATGGCTGGGCCCACAAATGAAAAATAGCCGCATGTTGCTCCGAAGAGCAGGCCCACCTGCGGCCGCCCTCGGCGTCCCTCCCGTGCTTTCTGAGCGCTGGGAAACGCGGCTGCCTGCAGCCTCGGAGGCCCTGCCGCAGGAAGCACAGAGGGAGAGGCTGGCTGCAGGCAGCCCGGCGGCGGCACGTGGCCTCGGAGAGCCCCAAATCCAACCTGGACGTCAGCTTCTATTTTTTTAGTACAGAAGACGAGAAGCCACATGGGGTTTTAATGCCATGCATGGAAAATAAGCTATAAATAAAGCCACATACATTAAAATACACATTAAGTAAAACTACGTCAATGAGATAACTTTAAAGAAACACAGCCAATAATTAGATACTCTAAGTTTATAACAAAAACCGTATTTCGTCGATCACCTTACTCACCAAGAATTTATCCAGTGACTATTGAGTGCCAGAACTGTTTTAAGTGGTGTTAGTAAAGCGAAGGAAATAAGCAAAATCGTTTTTATGAGGTATACATTCTGGTAGAGGGAGGGGTCTTATAAAGGGGGCTGAGTCCAGTGGGTAAGGACAAGGGTTGCCATTACATACAGCCAAGGAAAGCCTCCCTGCTGTGGTGCAGATGAAACAGAGACTGGTTGGAGGAAGTAGGGGGCAAATCTGAGGAAGGAATATTCCTCCCAGAAGGGAGAGCCTCTGTGCACAGTCTCCGAGGCAACGGCACAGTGGACAGTCCCAGGAACGGCAGGGTGGCCAGTGTGTCTGGAGCAGATGGAGCAAAGGGAAGAGTGGTAGGAACGTGAGAGAGAGCGAGCGGGCACCAGGTAAGTCACCGATGGTCTTCAGCAGAGGGGGGCACGGGTGGGAATAGACTCCCAATGCTGTGTGGAGAACAGATGGAGCTGTCGGTGACATGGACTTTGAGTGGCAGCAGTGGCAGTCATGAAAAGTAGTGTGATTATGGATATATTTGGAAAAAATATGTGAAAGTATATTTGGATATTGGTTGTAAGGAGGCGGAGTGGAGGATAACCCCAATATTGTTGGCCTAAACAACTGGAAAAACGGAATTGCGGTTAACTGAGATAGGGAGCACTCCATGACATGCAGATTCTCAGGGGTCGGGGAGAGTGTAACAGGGGCCAAGTTTTAGAAATGTGACGCCCAAGATGCCTGTTGAGCCTCTAAGGGGAGATATTAAGAACTACAGTTGCATGTGTGAGTCTGGAGTTCAGGGAAGAAGGTCAGGCTAGAGAAGTAAATTGGGAAATTGTTAATATGGAAGTAGAATAAATCCATGGGCCTGGAGGGGCACAGATGGAGGGTGGGAGAGGAGTGAGCCCTGGGGCATTCCAGCATTTGGAGATCAAGGAGGAGAGGAACAAGAAGAGAAAAGTGTAAGGGAGTGAGCAGCCAGTGATGTGGAAGAACTAGGAGAGAGTGGGTCCCGGAAACCAGCTGAACAAAGCATTTCCAGAAAGAGGAAGTGAGCCAACAGACCAGCTGCTGCTGGAAGATGAGTAAAAGGAAGCCTGTGAAGTGACCATCCTAATTCAGCAAAAGTAGTTCTGGTGGAATGATGAGGACCAAAGCCTGGTTGAAGTGGATTTAGAAGAGAATAGGGAAGATGATAGATTTGGGCACATAATGGAAAAATAAAATGTCAAGGTGAAAATTTGGCAATGCTATGCTAGAAGTCTTATATTTGACTAATGGGAGAAAAATGATTTTTACTACCTCGAGCCGGAACCTGTCTCTCTGGTCACTAATAAATTCATGGACAGTTCTTTTTGCATCTGCACCTTCAAGGAAAATTGACATTGACTTTGGTTTAGTTCATTATCCCTCAAAGATGTATAAAATAAAAACTATGTAATTAAAGTATTGCATTCAGTATGTGTCTGGACTTAAAAACTAATTTAATTAGAGTAACTACCATTTATTTTGTGTCCATAATATTCCAGGAATTTTATTAGACACTTGAAAACATTGTTTTATTTAAGCCTAACCAGTAACCCCAGTGGGGTACTTATTACTATCCCCCTCCTGTGTGTGAAGGTCTGAAGCTCAGAGATGTCAAGATGCTCCTCCAAGGTTGCACAGCTGACCCGTGGAAGGAGGAGGCATGGGACCCCCAAGCGTGTGCTAAATACTACTCAGCTGTTTTAAGTCTTAACCTTTTGGCCATTCCAGACATAAAACTGAAGTCTTTAGGTAAAATATGTTTAGGGATTACAAACCAAGTTTATGGCAGGAAAGGGAAAGATGATAACCAGATTATCATTTAGCAACAGAAAATACCAAAGTTACCTTTCAAGCTTTCTTTGTTCTTGAAAAATTATACAATGTGTAGGCTATATTTCAATAATGTTTGCCTCATGAAAAACCAGCAGAATGTGATATCAAATAAAATCTTTTAATAAAAATGTTGAGCCCTGGCTGGTGTAGCTCCATGGACTGAGTGCAGGCCTGTGAACCAAAGGGCTGTGGGTTCAATTCCCAGTCAGGACACATGCCTGGGTTCCAGGCCAGGTCCCTGGTGGGGAGTGCACAAGAGGCAACCACACATTGATGTTTTTCTCCCTCTCTTTCTCCCTCCCTCCCCTGTCTCTAAAAATAAGTAAATAAATTAAATCTTTTATAAAAATGTAAATAGAAGTAGAGCGAAGATAGCATTTCCCAGATAACCAGTGAGCCTGGCTGCAGGAGGAAGTCCACAGTCTCCCTGGGCGTGTGCTCTGCCTCCACGTCGCACTCGCTGTGGGATCGTGAGTTAATGACTTCCCCCCCTTCAAGCCTCAGTAAAATAGGATGCTAATTGTGATAGGTTATATTATGGTTCAAAAATATTCGCTGCCTCTCTCTTTGAGATCACCTCCTTCCCCCCACCCCTGCCCCCACTCCATCGGTGCCAGGCTTGCCCACTAACTTGGTGTAGCCCATGGGATGGGAGTAGACTTGACCTATGTTTCTCCCAAGCGGAAGCGTCTCCCTCTTGCCCTGACTCAAGCAACGTCCAGACAGCAGCTGCTCCTTCAGTACAGGACTCAGTGAAAAGCACCAAAGTTAAAAAGTGAGTGAGGAATAAAGCTCTGTTGTAAGCCACTGAAATTTAGGGCTGGTTTATTACCACACCATAATGTACTCTAAGTGGATATATTACCATTACTCTCTGCCTTACAGTGGCCTGGCAAAAGGAAGCCAGGGAACATATTATAGAACACAGAGTCATTTCTTAATGATTGTTAGCTATCATTATTTCAAAAATACAATTGGAATGAATAATCACTTATTTTTCAATAATAATGATAATAATGATTATCATCATCATTAATAAATAGTTCTGTGAGGATGGGGAACAAACAAGCAGCTTTGCAATCACACAGGCATTGGTTTAAATTCTGTATGCACTTCTGGCTTTGAATAAGAAACTCAGTGTGACTAAGCCATTTTCCTCAGATAAAGAGGAGACAAAAACACCTAACAGCATTTTGTTGAGGATTAAAGAAAATAACGTACGTGAAGGTAACAAAGAGCTAGTTAGCACAGTTTCTTTTCAAATATCTTAAAAAGACTTTTTGCTATAGAAATCATCAACAGTCATAAAAGCAGAGTCATCTAATGAACCACCATGTGTTTATCACCAACGTCAAAGCTATCAACATTTTACCAGTCTTGTTTCATTGGTTGCCACCCCAATTTTTTTCTCCTCACTGTAATTTTTTAAAGCAAATCCAAGACATTATTTCATTCATAAATGATTCAGTATGTAACTCTAATATATAAAAATTTTTCAAACATAACCATACTACTAGCATCCCAAACAAAATTAACAATTTCTTAGTATCATATTCCAAGTCTGGGTTCAAATTTTTCCAGCTGTCTCAAAAAAAAAACCCCAAACCTATTTAGAATTAAAAAAAACAATAAAATTTAAACAAAGATCAATTTGGTTGGTATGACTCCTGAAATCTGTTTTTTAAATCTCTAACAGCCACCCCCCTCTCTCCACACACCACTCTTTCTTCCATGCCTTTTGCTTGTTTAAGAAACCAGGTCAATGTTCCTGTAGAATTTCACGCATAATAGATCTGGCAGATTGCATTCTCATGGCATTGTTTTCTTAAATTTTTAATTGATTTTAGAGAGAGGGGAAGGGAGGGAGAGGGAGAAAAACAACAATTGGAACCCAAAACCTGTGCATGTGCCATGACCAGGAATTGAACCCACAACCTTTTGGTTTATGGGACAACACTCCAACCAACTGAGCCATACCAGCCCAGGATGATGGTGTTTAACATGGTTCTCAAATTCCCATATTTACTTGATTAGATTCAGGTTTAATTTATTTAAAGATTTTTAACAGAAAAAAAAAGAATGAAAGGTCTTGCCATGGCTTTCATTTGGTTAGTTATAGTGGGTCAGATGAATTGAAGATAAATTTCAATATCCAAAAGTAATCCTATACTGTCTGTCAATTTTTTAAATATAGCTATGCTCACAATTCCAGGCCACTTTAACATGGTACTGTCTGGCTGAGTGGATGTGATTTTTCTCAGCTCTAAATAGACTGGCCGTAGTGTGTTCCTAGCTATCAAGCAGACCTGGCAGCTCTTTCGACCCAGAGATCATGTGTGATAGAGCCCCCCACAAAACTCTAGAGTGCCTCGGCACCAGAGACCCCCGCCACTCCCAGAGATGTGATCCAGAGGCACTGCCCTTTAAGTCAAGCTGCTGGGTGCAGGGAGGTGGAAGTGGGACTTCTGTCACGTCCCTAACAGATTGGTCTACGGCTGTTGCCCGTCTAGTTTCTTTGATGGTGATGCAGTAGTTTGCCGCTGCTGCCTACACAAAAATAAAATAACCTAGGATCCCAAAGTAGGGGTCACTTGCTCCTTGGACTATCATGTAGGTGTGTCTTTCATCTGAATACAAGCAGGAAGTGCAAGGCTTGGGAATGAAGGTTTCGCCCAAATCAATTCTTGGTTGGAAAGAGTCTGAGGGGAACTTTATTATTTTAAATGAAAATGTCCAAATATCTGTGTAATCAGCGGAAACTGACAACCTGACTCCCATTGCAGACACAGTCCAGGTTGCCTTGGATAATACCAGACAATTTTACTGTTTCCTTTTTAAAAGTCTGCTGGACATCATTTACCCCTAAGTGACCGGTAACCTCTCTGTTAACCACCGATGATGTCGAACTGGGTCATCTGCAATGCCATACCTCCTAGCTATCTCAGAACTGTTGGAGTGGCAAGGATTTTAGTTAGAAGTTAGCCACTTTGTGCAGAACTCTTTCTAAAACATATCGTGTGTAACGTAAAATGCACTTGATGACATAGGGTTCACCATGTGACAGAGGTGAATGGTAGACATGAGACACAAGACTAAACATAGACCCGCCCTCTCAGCGGGCCAGTCGCTGCCATCAATGTGCCATCTATCATGTGCCGCTTTTTCATACCAGAGGCAGAATATGCACTGTCAAGATCTTCTAAATAAGTTGACAAGACTTCCCTTTTCTACAATAATTATTGAATCCAAAGTTCCTTCCTAAGTGGTTTTTTTGTTCTGTAAAAATATTTTTTCCATATTTGGGAAAGTGCCTGGACTTCGGGAGCCAGAGAAATGTTTTTAAGTTACCATAGCAAATCCTGGACACATGGTCTTCCTTCCTTCCTCCCTCCCTTCCTTCCATCTTTCTATTTTAATTTTTAATTTAAAATTTTGAATAAGACTCATTTTGGAGAAAGATTTAATCAGTCCATCATCCTGGTATTAATCACTTGAACCTCGCTAGCTTCAAACTGCTTTCTATCTCATGTGAAGGCCCTTCTTGATCTGATAAGTAGGAAATGGCCATCATGTTCTAACCCAGGCTGCCCTCTTTCACAGAGTGGTATTTAATTGCTTGCAGTATTTTAGCATGTTGCCTCCATAGGTCATTAAAATAGGTTGTGTTCTTGCAACCACAGGCAAACAATTTAATTCTATTAGCTTCCTGATTCTGGGTATAGGAGTTGTATGGCTTGGACGATCAAGACTTCTCTTTAGAAAGGCTTCTTTTAAATTCAGCTAGATATAGAACTGAATTCAGTTTCTAGATATAGAACTGAATCTAGATATAGAACTATACCTAGAACTGAATTTAAAAGGCCAGAGCCATTACCTTTAATACTGTGGCATTTTGGCAGTGACTTCCTTCCCTAGAGCCACGAAAATGAGTAACAGTCTATTTCTTGGTAAATAGAAATCTATCTGAAATAGAATCTACCTGAAATAGATTTTTCTCCCGACTCTCAACCCCCACTTACAAAGACCACCCCAACCATACTATGAGATAGCATACTTTGTGTTCCTCACCTCCAGAAAAACCACCAGTATTAACAGTAAATATTCAAACAATGTTTTTAAACAAATGGTCATTTAGACTTACCTTCTGTTAATCTGAGAATGAGAGCAGGATCTAGCATAAACTTTTCAAATGAGTTAAGAGCCGTGTCAGTATGGAATACTATCTGGCTCAGGTGTGAACGACTCTTCATCCGCGATGAAAAAGTAGACTTTTGGTGGACTTTCATGCTGCGCTTCAAGAATTTTTCCTGCCCAAGTGGGAAAGTTTAAAAGAATTTCCAATATACCAAAAATAATATTATCTTAAAATAAGATGCCACTTAGTGTAAGATGCACTAATATTTTATGCACTGCCAATAGTGTATTCCATCCCATCTATATAAGCTGGATCTGAATTTTTTAGGAATGAGAAAATGTGAAAGAATGTGGCCATTAAAATCAATGAAGTAAGGGTATACCTGTACTTGTCGTAGTGGACTATAGTGTGTGTCTGTCTTCCTCCGGTAGGTGGGGATCATTGGGTCCCTACCACGCGCTAGATGCTGTTTTGGGGTGTGTGTGTGTGTGTGTGTGTGTGTGTGTGTGTGTGTACATGCCATCATCCAGCACGGTGTGCAGCACTTGCATTGACAACTGACTGCATGTCTTACCCCAGAAAAGTTCATAAAAGTAACTGATAAAAGGACATGTTTCTAACATTAATTAGGATTGGGATTTTAATAAAACCATACCTTTTTCCTTTCTGCCATTTCACTTTCTTTGAAAAGAAAGAGATCTTTGAAAAAGATCTTATATGGCCCCTCCTTTTTGATTGACTCATCCTTTATTTTATCTGTTAAGAAAAAGAAAAGGAAGAACTGTCATCTCTCCTCTGTTGACCAGGATGTGAGGCTCCCACCAGCCAGGGGAGAGGTGAGGGGCATCTGTGGGTCTCTGACGAGGAGGATGCAGTCAGCCCCGCCTCCCCAGCGGGATGTGGGGCCTGGACCCAGGGGGCAGGGGCCACAGCTCACCTCTCTGTTTCCCACGGCACTGAGCACAGTGCTTAGTGATGCCCAGGGAATGAGTCTATATTTGTTGTGTAAGTATTTAGATAAGGGGCCTATTACAGGAAAGCAGGATCAGATTTTGAGATAACAACATGTGGATTTTTCCCACCCCTACAAATATATCCACAATTACCATTACACCACCATTTCCGCCACCACAGACACATACAATACCCTCACAGAGATCCTCAGTCTAAACTGGAGAGTCTTAAAAGTCAAAGATAATAACAACTGTGGGCAAGGATGTGGAGGAATTGGACCCTCATACGCTGCTGGTGGGAATGTAAAATCATGCGGTCACTTTGGAAAACAGTCTGGCAGTTCCTCAACAAGTTGAACACAGAGCTTCCATATGACCTAATCATTCCATGCTTGGATACATACCCAAGAGAAATGAAAACATTTGTCCGCACAAAAACTTATACACGAATGTTTACAACACTAACTAAGCATAGATCCCCCACAGTTCTTGACAAAGAAATATAAATCCTTTAATAAAATCAAAATTGTTCAATACATACTATTTTACTGTTCTGAATCTTGCTTTTGCTTAGTTAGTAATATATTTGGGAGTTCTTTTTACCTCAGCATAAGTGTATATATATACACACTTATTTCATCAAAAAAGAATAGCTACCTAGTGTCCTATTCCTTGGATGCATCATCCTTTATATAACCGACCCCATACCAATGGACATTGTGGCTGAGCCCAGTCTTCTGCTCTTATAAACAATGCTGCGTTGACTATTCTCACACACATCTTTAATCACTGGTGCAAACATATCTGCAGAAGAAATTGCTACCATGGCTTTATATTAGGCAAAATGGTTTCTGGTGCTTGCCATGACCAAGACCATCTTAAGAAGCAAGTTGCTCTCAGAGACCAATAGTTCGCCCTGGGAGGAGTTTGCCCACACACTTGAAGGGAATATTCTTATAAAGGTAAGTAGGCCCATTAAATTGTTTAATGCTTTAGAATGTACAGCTCTTAACAAGCACGTCATTTAGCCACAAACCACCTGTGTTCCTGGAGACTACACATATCAAGCCCTCATCTCCTTTTGTGTGCAATTCCAGAGTTTAATTCCAGAGTTAATTTCTGTTTAATTCCAGAGTTGTCAGCATCTTTTTTTTTTTTTTTTTTTTAATCTCTTGGCCTATCCTCCTTGGGGGATCAATTCCAATATGCTTTGGGAAATTTTCTCAACACCCAATTTAAATGTTCTTCAAATAATTTGGTGGTCCCTCAGTACCCATTCTCCCTTCTTCTATAGCAACAATTTTCAACCGGCGTGCCATAAGAATTTTTAAAGCATAGATACCTGACTAATCAGGGGCACTGACCTCTTTTCCTGTAGATTGTCAAATAAAAAATTGACAACAGCCAATACAACAATAGCTGGTCTGTGTGAATGAATCAAAATTATACTTTTTTCTTGTCAGATCGGCAAAAAAATATATTTTTTAATGAGCCACAGAATTTTGGAAATTAGTTTATGCATGCTATGATATAAAATATTGACCAACTATTCTATAAGAATAGAGCCCTTAATTCTAGCTTGGCACATACCCAAAGTAGACACTATATTTTTCGACCTCCCTTGGAGCCGAATATAGCCATATGACTAAGTTCTGAGCAAAGGGGAAGTCAGGAGAGGTGGTGAGTACAACTTCTAGGAAGTGTCCTAAAAAGAAGGGGCATGTTCCTCTCTACCCCTTTTCTCCTTCTTGCTGGCAGGAGTATGGATGGATGTGGTCACTGTACAGAGGCAGACCCTGGGATCAAGAATATAGGCCAGCGACAGCTAGAAGCAGCCAAGGCCCCTGATGTGAGCCTCTCAATGGTTGGACCCCAGAATGCTCATGTGCAGACTTTGTTACCTAAGAGAGAAATAAACTTCTATCATGTTTAAGCCCCCATTGTGTTTATATGATCTGTCAGTTGCAGCCAAATCTTTTAATTCTAAATACAGAGAGGGTCAGATTTCTTTCAAAGAGAATTCCTATAGTGTGCCTGTTACCCATAAAAAGTTCTTGGTATTCTCTAATTTTTAAATATTTATCAAACTTATACATGGGAAAAAAGTTATACTGATAAATACCAATTATTTAATTGTAAAAAAAAGTGGAAGGATAAAAAGAGGAAGAAAGGGTGGTAATGGAAAGAAGAGGACAGATTTTCATAAAATGTAGTTATTCGTGTCATTTATTATGACAAATAATTGAGTTAATCCTTTTGTCATGAAAGACTGGTAATCTTGCTAAATACAACAGAATTTAAAGATTTTTCTTTTGAGAATTAAAAAGAAAAGAACTGTCTCAGCAAGTAGTTTATAAGTTCTCCACGTGGCGAGACCATGCCTGATGCTCATTGTGTAGCATTCTCCCATTCTTACTCACCCAACCCGTATAGACACTAACAGTACTAGGCACAAAGCAAGAACTCAGGGATTGGTTTCTTCCTTACCTCTAGAAGTCAGTGTTTTGGGCAAAAAATGTGATGACATTTTGTCTCCTGGCCCTGTCCAAAGAAAATAAAACACATTAAAAAAATTCTATAAACCTTGCATAAAGTCACTAAGTTCAACTGCCAGTAACTCCCAAATAGGCTTTGTTGCTTTTAAAGTAGTGTAGGGACGTCTGGTCAAGATGGCGGCATAGGTAACATGGCTTGCTTTCTTGTACAACCACATCAAAATTACAACTAAACTATAGAACAACCATCATTCAGAACTGTCAGAAATGGAGCTGAATGGAAGTCCTACTGACAGAATTAAAGAGGAAACCACATCAGGACTGGTAGGAAGGGCTATGGTATATACTTAAAATGGATTGTCATGTGGCCCCTTAAAACTATGCTGTAGTTACTATTCAATTTACTCTATTATTAAAAAATATATATTTTGCAAAAGGACAGGAATATTATGGATAAAAAACACATGCCAAATCAAGGAGGTGTTTGAAATGTTCACCAAACATTAATAATGGTCATCTCTGAATTGGAACAATCTCTCCTTTTGTTTTTATCAGGTTTGGGATTAGGGTCAGTTGAGTGAGGCACATGCCTTTAGCTGCAAAATTTAAGGAAATGCCCCCAAAAACTCAGTTATTGACATAAATAACATGTTAATGCAATTCTTAAAAAATTGAAAATTAATGCAGTAAATAATTAAAGATAAACAAAATATCAAACATTTAAGTGTAGATAGGATCTGACTGCATTTACATGGCCCTGGGAGTGAGTGTCTCAATGGCCACGCCCTGTCCCAGCCCACAGATCTCGTCCTTACTTCACACTTTGAGAGTTTGTTCATTATGGACTGCTGCATCAAATTTTATTTTTTTAATAGTGAATTAAAATGTTTGATTACAGAGTTTTTGCCTCCCCCATAAATGAGGTCAAAGGGATAACAAAGGCCTTGAGGATTATTTACTCAGTGAAATGAGAATCATGAAATGAATCACTTTGGCAGCTGAGCTGAGAAGAAACTGTAGAAGGAAGTGAAGGTCCCACAGGGAGGCCTGTTGGAAGACAAGAGACAACAGGCTCCCTGGGCAATGGTGGAAATGGTGAGAGGTGGTCAGATTCTAGATAAACTTGGAAAACCGGCCTACAGAATTGGCTGAGGGTTTGGATGTGGGGTATGAGGTAGAGAACCCAGGAAAAAAAGGGTGCAGTTGCGTTGGTGGCTAGAGACAGAGAAGGCTGTCGGGGAGGGGGCAGTGGGGAAGATCAAAGCTTCAGTTTGGAACACACTAAATTTGACATATTTATTAGATACCTAGGGGATGTGGATATAAAATATGCTGTTTTTCCAAGAGAGCACTATGCTAGTTGATTTATTTAAATTTTGTCTTCCTCTAACATTTTGCCATTATATGTAGTCACTGAGTCAGCTTCTTTGACACGTATCATAACATGGGCAACATGAAGGCGCTGCAGAAAGACCCTGGCCTTTGCGGAAAAGCAGGTTTAAATCCCGCTTCTGATTCTCATCAGTTCTTTTTTTTTAAGGCGTGTCCAGTTGAATTCAGTGTGCCTTAAGCTCCTCTGTCAAGTGTGGATACTGCCACCTTTTGGACTGGCTTGTTGCAATTTTCAAACACAGATAATGTACACGAAGTGCTTATGCACAGGAGGCTGATAGGGAAATGATTGCTCACACTGTCTTCGGAGTAGATACCCAGATGTATCCTTTCTCTAGTTCTCTGTCTTGTGAATAACTACCAGCATTTGAAAAGAATAGGAGGGATAACTGACAACTAGCTTTCACGAGAAACACTGAATTAAAGTTCTTGAAATCAGGTCATTTGAGAGGAACCTGCCAGCAATGTCAATGCAAATTTGGGGACTCTGACCCCCCTTAGTGCAGATTCTTATCACTCCCAGCTTCGTGGAAGTGGAGATAGAGGAATGGGGTTTTATAGCATCCAAACTTAAGTCCTGGACCAACTTGGAATGAAATTAACCATAACAGTATCTACCAGATATTATTCAAAGAAGTTTCTGTTTAAATTTTTCAACAGCTCTACAAACTCAATGAAAATGGATATCCAGATTCTCTCAATATGACATAAAAAACTTTATCTCCCATATGCAAATGAAGATTTAGACAGATTCTCTCAGACCCAATGACTTTCCATTTTTTCCCATCTCCTTCCCACCCACTTAGACAAATACTAGAGGAAGGGTTGTGGACTGTGTCCTCTCTAGACCAGAGCTAGCAATTTTTTGTTTACCTGAGAGTCAGGAGCCTCTAGGTCCTTGGCCTGACCAAGGACTGCCTTTTTTTGATTAGGTCAGAAGCAGAGGGGAATGATCAGGAAATTACCTCTGGCTTGACCTTTAAGGCCCTGCTAGCGTCAACCTAGCTATTTTGTGTGGACTTTTCTGTTGACGTTTCTGACTGTCCTTTTTGCAAATTGAAAAAAATAACTGAAGGTCAAGTGGAAGAAAGATTTGGGAAAAGATATCCAATGTGAGTCAGATGATGTGACAATAACTCTATAACTAAGAGCCACTATTAGAGGGATGTTGGTGGCCATTAGGGAAAAGCATCATCTTTCCTCTCTGTAATTATTTAACAGTGACCAGGGAGGAGGGAAATCTACTCTCATCCTTCTTGCTTCTGCAAACCTCTCGTTTGCAGGGGCTTTTGAGGCAAAGCTGTTTATGTGGACTGTGATCAGGTATACTCATTGCACCCTCAGACATAAATCCCCGTTTTAAAAAGTACAATTTCTTTTAGATTTGCCCAGGACTTGTAAACTTTAATTACATGGTGCATTCTGTGAAGTCAAGAGGAGACCTAGGGCTGTTAAATCTAATCTTTAACTTAATTGATCAGCAAGACAAAGGACAGGATTAAAATAAACTACTATTAATAATAATTACTATGACTTATTTAGAGATAGGCAGTTGGCTAAGTGATTTACATTTCATCTTATTTACTGCTCAAACAAGTCCATAAAGTAGAAACAATTATCTTCATGACATGGATGAGAAAACTGAGGCTCCGGGAAATTAATTTCCCAAAGACAAATAGCTCATAAGTAACAGAAATGGGATTAAGACAAGTTTATGGAAACCCAAAATCTTCTATTTTCCTATAATTTCACTTCATCCTTATAATTGCATAAATCTGCAGATATACTTATAAATGCAAAATGTTACATTCAAGTCTTTAGCATAAATTTTATAATATAAAATTTTAATATTTTTCTATGAATTAGTGATTCCATGTTTCTATTTTCCACTATTTCTACTTTTCCCTATTTCTCTCTCTATATTATATCCTTCTTTTAGAATCCATGTGTAGACACACCCATCTGTTCGTGATTGTGTGTCTGTGCTGTTATAAATACTCTATGGATTTTTTCCCCTCCCTTTTGTGTCTCTTTTACTAACACTGTCTACTGAATTCTTTTCTAGTTTTTTTTCTTTGCCTTCTCCTTTCTACCTGACTGGGCTCTCTCCTCTGTGGACACAATATGAAGCCAAAGTATATTCTTATTTATTGTCACCTAAGGGAATTTTTGCTTTCTGTTCTTTGTTTTTAAATGGCTTTAAGATGACACTAAACTGACTTACTGTTATATTGTGTGGTTTTACAGGCCTCACACCTGCTTTTATGGTATATTATTGTATCCATAAGTGCCTTCCTTTTGACTGCAGTCTCTGCTGGGCAGGGAAAGAGACCTTCCTGTCTTTATATGTTCCACAGGCCTAAAAACACAAAGCTCCTACTAAAAGAATATAAACTGAATACAGTAGTCAAGAAACTCCAAACAAAACCCAGGCCTGACAGTGTTTTCACAGCAACTGATAGTCAGGAGGAGCTGCAGGTGAGAATTACAGACCATCTCCCTTAAACAAACCTGATTTTGTCTCCAACCTTGGATGCAAATCGAGGGGAGGGTCGGCCCGATACAGTCGGGGGTGAGGGGGACACCGAGCTGAAACCACTTTTACCTCAACGAGTTTGGATACAGGAGACGTTTCAACCAATCCTTCGAGGAAGGCGATAGAGGAAGAGGGATGGAGGCACCAATCGATTCTCCAGTCTCGGCTCTAGCCTCCTCCACCCCAGGTCCCCTTCATCTCGGGGACCGTCTGGTAGGGCATCCCGGAGCGGAGCTGGCCAACCGAAGAGCGCGCGGCTCCCGCCACCCTGCTTCGCAGCAGCGCGGACGCGGGCGCAGCTTCCCCACCTCATCCCCCTCCTCTCTACCCGCAGGGCCGCTGCAGGCGGCCCTCCGGGTCGCAGGCTGCACCCAGCACCCCTTCCCCCCGCCCCGCCCCCCAGGCCGGGCAGAGGTTTCCCGCCTTCTGCCCCTTTCCCGGGGCTCTGTCCCAGCTTCCCGCACCTGTCTCTATCAGGTTTCTACCCACTTTACCCACTCGGGGTGCCCTTGCCTACGGTGACTCCCTTCCCCTTGGCCCAAGTGATGGTCGTCGCAACCCATCTTTCTCTCTCCCGGTGACCGAATTCAGTTTATCTGTAAAGTAGGGATCTCTACCACATTTACCCAGAAAGTGACAAGGCGACCGAAAAAGTGGAGATTCATTATAACACTTTTTATTAACCAACATTCTGATATTGTCATTGCCCAGGTTGGAGGGGAGGCGTGCATTCCTCGCGGGTTTGGAAGCGCCGAGGCTGCGAGCGCCCGCCCCTGCTCCACCCTCCCGACCCCGGGCCGCACCGCCTGCGGACCTGCACCCTCCTCCGGCGTCTCTTACGCGGCCCCAACCCGGCGACTGCCTCGCGGCCCGCGGCGCGCGGCGACATGGCAGGCGACCACCGCCTCCTGCTGGAGAACGCGCGGCAAGTGGTGCTGGTGTGCGCCCGCGGGGAGCGCTTCCTGGTGCGCGACGCGCTGCGCAGCCTGGCGGTGCTGGAGGACGCCAGCCTAGTGGTGGGCACGTAAGTGGCTGCGGGATGGAGCGACCCGCCAGACAAGTCCCAGCTTGGCGCTTTTTCTCTCACTTGTGCGCTGTGGGAGGGAAACCGGGTGAAAGCTTTTTCGAACCCAGGAAGACGTTGGCAGGGCTGCCTTTAGGAACCAGCTGCTAACGTGCTTGAGTGCTTCAGGGTGTCATTCCGTGGAGGGACGCACTCAAGCTGCACGGGGCCCCGGGATGCATCAGGATCCCGCCTCTGCTGACAGAATATCATTGATCAACAATCAAAAGGGATCGGGGTTCTTTCCAGTGCTTCCTGAAGTGCGGCCAAGAGACCACCTGCGTAGATGGCCTAAGAGTTTTGTTTTGTTTTACCGCAGATTTCAGACCACTCACCTGCCCACTCCCACCCTCACCCGCCGTCCCCAGATCTTTTAAATCAGCACCTCCGTGGGTGGAGTTCGGAGACCAGAATTTTTACAAATGCCTCTCCCACCCGCTTCCTCTGTGCAGTGAAGCTTTGAGAACCATGGCAATCAGGGGTGTCCAACCTGCGGCCCGGGACGGCTATGAATGCGGCCCAACACAAAATCGTAAATTTACTTAAAACCTTTTTTTTTTGCTCATTAGTTTTCATTAGTGTTTGTGTATTTAACGTGTGGCCCAAGACAACTCTTCTTCCAATGGGCCCCCAGACGCCAAAAGGCTGGACGCTCCTGGATGGTGATGGTTTGCCCTTGTAGAGTATTCAGCTTCAGGCATCAGGAAAGGAGGGCTTGCACAATTATTTTCATTAAACCTTCTGTGCTTCCTGCTAGAAGTGAATAAAAGAACGGCCAGTTCGGGAGGGCGGGCCTGGGGTGGGAATGGGGGTTGGATGCCAATTGGGGGAGCAGCGTGGCAGGACAGTTGTGCAAGAGCAATCAGTCGCACCCAAAGCTGAGGCTGCTTAGGGTTGTGTAAGAGTCCAGCTTTTAGGGACCCTGTGTGTTTTCAATCAGCAAAGGGATAAAAACATTTCCAGTGTTACTGTCAAAAATTTCTTAAAATCAGTTAATGGAATTGCACAAAAGTAAGGATTCTGAGGATTCAGGCCCCCCCGCTGTCTTGCTCTGTCGTGCAAACCCTTCCCCAGTCCCCCCATCATCCAGCATGGCTGCTCTGTCTCTCCGGGTGTCTGCATTCCTGCCAGTAGGAAAGAGGAAAACAATCCTATTGGCTAAAACTTAGTCACATGGCCGCAGTAGGCTGATGGGAGACTGGGAAATGTATCTTTATGCTGGGCGGTCCTGACCTGTCCTGCTAAAGTTTAGGAATCTAGCACTGTGGGGAAAGGGAACATGGATCTCAGAAAACAGTTACCATTCTCTGTTACGTATGATTAAACTTTTGCCTGATAGGAGGCTATAGTCCTTTTTCCAAAGACACAACTCCAGAAAGGAAATACAATAAATGTTGAGACACAGATAACATTTTAAATTGTTGGTCAGATTTCTCACAATATTTCCCAAAACTTTAGTAATTGTCTCTTGATGTTTCTTCAGGGATGGGTTTATAAAAGCCATTGGTCCTGCTGATGTTATCCAAAAACAGTTTTCTGAAGAAACGTTTGAAGAAAGAATTGACTGCTCTGGGAAATGCATCTTGCCGGGTATTAACGTCTTTTCAGTAAAACTCTGAATACCGTTTTAGGAATGTAAAGAGGAAGAGTAGTAACTTATTTTAAAGAGTCTCACAATGATATTAAAATATAATCATAACTACAATTTATTAAATTTCTAATAAATGTCTAGCTGCTTTGCAAACATGTTTTCATGTTGAATTCTTATAACTGCACCGAAAGGTACATTATTTGCATGTTACATGGAATTTAGGGGCGAAGTATCTCACCTGAAATCACTAAACAGGTAAAGGGCAGGATGAGACTTAAAGCCATGCATTCATTCTACTTATTCCCTCTCACATGGTGAAGAAAGACCAGCTGTGTTGTGTTTAGGTGCAAAACTGTTGGAAGAATTTTATTAATGCATTGTGTAGGGAAGGCAAACAGGGAAAACTATCTCTACTACCAGAATATACTTTAAATTAGTAGAGTGTGAAACAAAGGACCCATCTTTAGATGGAAAAAAAAATATTAGAAATTTCACTGAAGTTCATTACTATCTTTAGTGATTGACAACAGAATCATGTTTATTTACCATCATCTCCTAAATGGTCTATGTTTTATGGCTTCATGTAATGACCTGAAATGAGTTTCATAAATTTTGAGTTCTATGCAAACATAAAGCTTAAGATTTGTATATTTAAAGTGTGCATGATATACATCTGACAGAGCATCTACCTTCTGGCTCTTGGAAGGTAGAAGACAAAGTCAGGGTGAAACCTTATGAGAAAGCAGAATATAATACAAAATGATCTGAACTTTTGATTTTTGACTTTTGATTTTACTCCAAATCAGAACCCACTAATCAGCCATTCCATCTGTTAGGTATTTTGAATGTTCTGGAAAGATGCACTTTTCTGAACTGTACTTGGGTAAATAAAAGCTTCAAGTAATTGCTTTAGAGCTTCTCTTTCTATATAAATATATAAAATATAGTTCTTTCTTGAAGAAATATTTATCTTCCTGATTTCATATTTTTCCCTCTCAAGGTTGAGGATAGGGATTGGATGAGTCTGTTTTCACACTCAGCTAATAGACTAATAGACTTGACTCAACTAATAGACTTGACATCCTGATTTTGGTGAGCATGGGCTTAATGGGCAAAAGGAACTGTACTTTTTAAAAGAATATTTTCATCATTCTGAGTCACCCTCCTCTCTTAGAGCCTTCTAGAACAACTATGCAGAGAGACCTCTTGTTTCCTCTATGTGGAGGAAAACAGAGACAAATTCTTCCTTCTTCAACCCTCACCCAAGATGGCTGACCACCGTCATGTTTTCCAAAGAGCAGGATGGTATAGTCGTCCTGCTAGCTAGGGCTTTCTAGTTCTTAACTTTAAAAATGATTTGATTTATTGATTACAGGTTTGGTGGATGCACACACACATCCAGTATGGGCTGGTGAAAGAGTTCACGAATTCGCAATGAAGGTAACTGCAGTGAATGATGGTGAATCAAAATGAAGCATAAACAAACAGAGAAAAATCTTTTTCTAAAGAGTCTGTAGGCTGTCAGGCTTTTCAGCATATGCCTACACCTCTTTTTAATGGGTATTTTTACCAGCCTGGACTATGGCAGATAAATTATAATAAAACTTAACTAGTTTATAACTGTCTCAAATCTTTATAATATGCACAGAGCTAGCAATCATTTTAAATATAAAAATTTTCAAAAAAAATTTTTTAGCTGTAGAATCTTCATTTTAACAGAGTTGAGCTGCCCTGCTCACTAATTTCTCCTCCCTTTTCCTTCTCCCCCCTTCCATTCTACCAGTCCTCATGGTCTCTGAAAAGACTCCAGGAAGCAGCTTGAAAATTACCATTCATTAAGGTCAAACCAGGAAAAATATATTACTGATAACAAAAATAAAATGTTTTATATTGTTCTCATTTTTTTCCAGGAAAAAAATGAGATTTATTAAGAAATATAAAAAGAAGTCTGTCAGTGAATAATTAGCTGTAGCCAACCCTCAAACCCCTAGTTGAAGCCATTTTACATTGTTTTTAGTAAACTTTATTCTTTTAGAGCAGTTTTAGATTCACAGCAAAACTGAGTGAAAGCTACAAGCATGTCCCATACACCATATTCCGCCCCAGGCTTCCCCATTTTCAGCGTCCTCCAGCCAGTGGTACATTTGTTACAATGGATGAACCTACATTGACATATCATTAACAAATGTATAATGACATGAACTCACCATTGTAGGAGCATACAGGGTAGTTTCCTTGCCCTAAAAATCTTCTGTGATCTGCCTATTCGCCCCTCTCTTCCCCCAACCTCTAGCAACCACTGATCTTTTTACTGTCTCCTTAGTTTTGCTTTTTCCAGAATGTCATATAGTTGGAATCACATGGTATGTAAACTTTCCAGAGGGGCTCTTCATTTAGCAATATGCGCTTGAGTTTTCTTCATACCTTTTCTTCACATTGTTCCTAAAAATGTATGTAGCCTAACAGCTAAATTGCAGTATTTCAGAAAAAGAAAAAATTTCTTCAGATATTGTGTACCTTCTTCAACAAACTAGAGCTGCTTTTAAGACTTCTTTATTACATCACAGAATTTCAGAGTTAATAAATCTCTAAGTACCCTTAGAGATTTGCAGTCCAGTTCTCTCACTGTGTAGATGCCGAAAGGGAGGTCGGTAGAGGGAAGGGTGCCCACTGAGTTCACTAGCTCCCCATGGCAGAACTCAGATAAAAACTCTCTGGGGGAGAGACCCCTCGCCCCTCCCCGTCCTGTCCCCCGCACAGGCGCATTGCGTTTGCACCACACTCCTTGCTGCCCGGAGTAGCAGAGCCCACTGGGGTCCCACAAAGAGCCTCTTCATTTGCTTGAGCCACAGAGGTGAGGCCCCAAACCCTTGTGGCCAAATACTGAGGAGAGCAAACACCCCTGGATGTCTTTGGTGGAGATTTGAATGACTGCTTTGTGCATATCGATTGTGAATCACTTTGAATATCACCCCTGCAGGTAGGTTCTGTAGACCTGCCTGTAACCTCCCTGTGTTTGTTCGGCCTAACGGTGAGCCGTGTGTTCAGTTGGCAGGAGCCACATACATGGATATCCACCAGGCTGGAGGAGGGATCAACTTCACGGTGGAGCGCACACGCCAAGCCTCGGAGGAGGAGCTGTTCAGCTCCTTCCAGCAGCGGCTGCAGTGCATGATGCGGGCGGGGACCACGCTGGTGGAGTGCAAGAGCGGATACGGCCTCAACCTGGAGACGGAGCTCAAGATGCTCCGCGTGATTGAGCGCGCCCGGCGGCAGATGGACCTCGGCATCTCGGCCACTTACTGCGGGGCTCACTCAGTGCCGAAGTAACCTCAGGCGCCGGGCGGCCGGGTTTAACTCGGGGGTGGAGGGGGCCGCTTTCTCCCCCAGTGGCTCAGCAGTTTAGCTCTTGCAGAGACACCAGGAGAAGGCTTTGGAAAGTTGTTCGAATTCTAATGGGCAGTCATCTCACACGTGGTTTTAGGAAGGAGACCTCCACTAGACCTGTCACTTTGCGAGTCCCTTAGTGATGAAGGAAGGGGAGATGCTGAAAACTCTTTCGATTAACAGAGAGAAAAGTCCCTTGTGATTCTTTAAAACGGCAGATATCAATCTAAATAGTTTCTCATGACAGCATAAAAGCACTTTAGAAATTGACAGTAACACGCTGTAGGAGTTACATCTAATCTTGAAGTGACTCAAAACAGTTTTTATGTTGCTCCTGTTTGCTTGCTTAGCAGACAACAAACATTTTTATTTTATTGTTGTAGATGTTTTTTCGCTTTCCCCTTTATCTATACGGCTTTACTGCAGAGAACGGCTATCTCCTTCTACGCGTGCGTCCCGCCTGTCCTGTAATTGCTAGGCTGGAAGACCCGCAGTTCTGGAACTAAGAGAGCCAGAGGAAAACCAGAAAACTCAAAATCACAGGGCTCCTCCAATAGTGCAGTTTTAAGTTTTCACGACTTAGATATATAAATGCTACAGGCTTACACAAATTATTTGAAAAAAGAATTTATATATTTCATAAATGTATTTCACTTTGTGAACTTTAAAGATAAAATTTTAACGGTAATTTTGTGTTTACCATCTTCAGAGGAACTAAAAAATTAACATTAACACTTATTATTAAAAATTCACAAAATGAATTAAGTAGAAAAGAAACACAAAAACTTAATATTCCCAATGGTGTTTGTTGCAAGTTTTTAGCATTTATACTTCTGAAATTATTAAAGCTTGAAATTGCCCTAAGGTATTTTGGGAGAGCCTGTCTGTAGAAAAAAGATTTTTTTTTTTTTTCAAATAGAATATGAGGTGTGTGATCGTCTGGTTTCTTCAGAAGGAAGGACATTGTGATGTGGTAGAAAAGTCCCAGGTGTTGGAGTGATACTTCCAGCTGGGTGATTTTGAGGGCATCTTTTAACTTTTTTGAACATGAATTATTTATCTGTAAAATAGCTATATAGCACGCTATTCTATACAATTGTCTTAAGAATTATATGTAAGTGCCTGTCTCCTTGTGGCCCACCTCTGTCTACCCACCCTAATGGTTTTCACTGAACAAGAGGCTTCTATGTGCCAAATACAGGGCTAAGGTTTTACAGAAAATTTCTCCAACTGCCAATGAGCCTCTGAGGTCTGCATTGGGATCCCCAATGATAAAGCCCGAGGCTCAGAGCATGCCAAATGATACGTCAATAACGTGTCCGAAGTTATGCGGCCAGCAAGCAGTCGAGCTCTGTGTATATTTGACTTCAAAAGCCCAGCCCTTCCTAATCTCTAACTACCCCAGGATCTCAGTGAGAGTTTCAGGGCCAGGGGATAGCCAGAGCCTGAGGAAGAGGCCTCAGCTGGCTTGTCAGGGAAGCCTACAGGATGCCTTCCAGGTGCCCTTGATGGGTAGATTCATTTCTTTCCCAGCCAGATGGCCTTGCTGACATTCCCAAAGGCAGCGCTGGTGTGCCAGAATGGATGAGCCATCTGAGACCCTGTGTACAGGGTCAGTGCACACAGAAGTCTAGTCAATACCTCTGCTATGTAGGCATGTCACAACTGTGGAGTCCCCAGTTATAGCTTTGATTCTTTCTGTACCACTCTGAGGCATTTACCCAGTTTCTCAGGTTCTCCAAAGACAAAACAAAACAGAACAAAACAAAAACACACAATAAAACTTTCTCCATTAAAAATTTTTTTTTTGACTCATGGAAATCTTTTTTTCTTCTCTCAGAGGAAAAACTGCTACTGAAGCTGCTGATGACATCATCAATAACCACCTCCCAAAGCTGAAGGAACTTAGCAGAAATGGGCAAATTCACGTCGACAATATAGATGTGTTCTGTGAGAAGGGTGTCTTTGACCTTGATTCTACCAGAAGGATTCTTCAAGGTGGAAAAGATATAGGGTTACAGATTAACTTCCATGGGGATGAACTCCACCCGATGAAGGCTGCAGAGGTACAGCTGACCTTTTGTTTTTCCTTTGTCAATACTCACATTATGGAAAACTTACCTAGTTTGTTCAAAGACAGGAGCAGTCTTTTGAAAAGAAAGTGGAAACATTTGTGTGAGGAGTGTGCAGAATCTAACTGGTTGAGCCTAGGAATCCCTGGCTTCTGTTAGAAATTTACTTTTTTTGCACTCATTTACTTTTATTAACACCTGCTGGAGGTGTTAGTAGAAAAAGAAGTACCTTCGTGATATCTTTTACTAAATTCACAGCCTATTTTCGTTGGTAAAGAAGGTCATACCAACAGAGTCTACTAATTTCACATGCAGCTTCTAGGGTCTTTCTGAGGCATCATCCAGATGAATTTTAGTGAAGCCCACCATTCATAGCCACAACATGATTTTCAAATCTATATGTCTTGCCCAGATTCATTTATTCACACTGTCAGCAAATACTTGACTGTGTCGTGTGTGCCAGGAACTGTTGTAAGTGCTGAGAATTCGTCAGTGAGTAAAGACAGCTCTTGTGTCGGGGCGAGGAGCCAAACGAACAACTGTCCTTGCGGTATTAGTACAGATGTAGATACCTCACAGGTGTCTCACCCACAACATGTCCTACTTGATCTCTTAATGTCACTTCCCAATCATGCCCTGTGTTTCCTGCCCCAGTGAATGAAAACATCATCTATTGCCTAGGTCAAAAACCTGATGTCATTTGACTCCTCTCTCCGCTTCACCTAACCACATTTCAACAGCCCAGCAAGTCCTGCCACGTTTCCTCCTGAGTATCTCTCGGTGCATTTCTCTTCGCCTCACGGCCTAGGTCCAACCACCACCAGCTCTCACCTGGATTGTTGTAACAGCTGTTCCTGCCTCCAAACTTGCGTCCACTTTAACGTGTTTCTTTACCCCATCCCCTAAGTTCATCTGTCCCTCCTCTCCATTGCTTAAAACCACCTAAAGGCTTACCACTGCTCATAGGGCGAATTTCAAATTCCCTACTTGCCAGGATCCAGCCCTTGTTTACTTCTCTATCTTCTTTTCTCTCTCCTCTGCTTTTTCACCTCCTTCACCCCGTCTCCCACAGACCAGCCACAATAAACTACTTTGAGTACACTGAATACCTCATGCCTCTGCACGGATGGCTTCTCTAGTCTGAACTCCACCTTGTCTCGCTAATTCTAGCTGCCTTCCATGTTTCATGTTAACCGCAGCTTCTCCGGGGTCGTCCCCAAACCTCTCCAACGGTGGGTTATAGATCCTCCCTGTGCTTATCCCATTGTGTAAAAATTGCCTCTGCAACCCTTCTGGACTCCAGAACGAAGACAGAGCGCACCCCTGTCTTACATAGCCCTGTGCCTGAAAGTTAGCACAGTGCCTGGCATACAGACGGCCTTTCCTAAGCAAATAATTAGCTGTCGAACATTTGTTAAGTGAATGTGGACTGGGTGGTCAATAAGACACTTTTAGTTGTAGAGAGTGACTGGTGAATTAAATCAATTGAGGTCAATACCCAGGATGAGCAAATCAAGATTGGAAAAGTGAAGGTGATTCCAAAGTCAATAAAGAACTCTCTTGGTGGAGTGCAGTCTGTCCTGTGGTCCAAAATGCTGTCAGACCAGAGCCAGCTGCTGATGTGGGCCAGCTCTTTCCTGCCCTGGTGTGGGGGGACCGTAGCCTCCATGGCCTGGGCCACAGTGTAATGTCCAACATTGTCTGCTCTCCTTTCCTTGGGATGTTTTCTAAACATACCACCTTTCATCCTGGGGCATATTGTGTGTGTGTCTGTGTGTGTACAATTGGCACAATGAGAAGAAATCCACTGTAATGCATGGTTCCATGATCATCACGGCATTGCCCCATCTTGGTTGTCTCGTAACAATCTAGTCCAAACTTTTCATCTGGAGAGAAATCAAGCTCAAGTACTATTCTCAAATTATACATCTGATTCCACATTTTAAAAGTTTGTTTTCTTAACTGATCTGTTTTCACAGAGAGCAATGACATTCCAAGATACCTTTTTATTGTGATTTTTATGATGCTGTGATAGATTTTATTATTTATCTGATTCATCAGATTCATAAATTTTTTTAGCTATGAATACTGTCAGTAAACACTTATGTCTAAGAATGTTTTTTGAAGTAGCACTCTAGACAATCTTCAAATGAATGTCCATCACAAACCCTTTATCCATTTTGGGGCTTGTCCTTGCCAGAGGTAGTCGGCAAGAAATTTTAATCATAGAGTGCTATTTATTTTTGCAGGAAAAACAGTTTTATGGCACTTTATTGATTTGTAGTTGCTGTTGGTTAAATCTTTTTCTCTCTGCTCATTCTACTTAGCTTGGGGCTGAACTGGGAGCTCGGGCAATCAGTCACCTGGAAGAAGTGAGTGATGAAGGCATTGCTGCCATGGCAACGGCCGGGTGCTCCGCTGTCCTGCTGCCCACCACGGCCTACATGCTGAGGTGAGGTCCTCCTCTCCCCGACACATGAGCTGCAAGTACAAGTTGTGAAGACAGAGCCTTCCAAGATGCCCAGCTATTATTTCATTGCCCTTACAAGTCCCTTAAAAATGCAGATCAAGAAAACGTAGCTCATGGAAGATGCCAGTTCTGGAATGATGTTCAGAAATGAATTACCCCGAGGACTGAGCTCAGAACTAAAGTGACTCTGAGTGGTTGGATTACTGGGGAGGGTGGCTCTTCCTTTTTCTTTCTTTCTTTCTTTTCTTTTCTTTTTTTTTTTTTTTACCAACTTTTGGATTTTCTAATTTAAAGAAAAATCAGTATGTATTTCTTTTATAATTACAAAAAATGAAATAGGTTTCATACTTTTAAAAGCATGCATAAGATATTTGGGATATTTAACAGTATTCAGAATCTGCATAGCTGTGTTCTGAGAAGATGATTGTTGGTGTCAAAATTATGTACCAGAATCCTCATAAATCCTGGGGGTGAGAGGAGAGAGAAGATGTATATGTTGTAAAGCCTCCCCAGGAACTTTGCTCTGTGCTCTCTGTGGACTGAATGCATTTAGTCCACCTCCTATAATTGCCATTGCTCTAATTCTACCAAATCTGAGACCTGAGATTTGACTCTTTCCATTGTTCCACGTCCATGCCAGCCACTGAGTTTGTGGGCAGGCAGGCCAGCATTCAGATTTTTTATTCTCTAAAGACCAGGTGCTTTCTGTGAGGCTGGGACACATGGTTTTCACAGGGGTGATTCTGCAGTTATGGCCTTAGAACAGTGGTTATCAATCTCAAGTGATTTTGCCCCTAAGGGGACATTGGTCAATGTCTGGAGACATTTTTGTTTGTCACAACTAAGTGGTGCTACTGACAACTAGTAGATAAAAGCCAGAGATGCTGCTAAACATTCTACAAGGCACAGAACAACCCCAAGAACAAAGAATTATCCAGCCCAAGAAATGCTTTTTGCCAAGGTTGAAAAACTCTGCCTTAGGGATTGAAAAGCAAGGCTTTGAGTAACTGTTATAAGGGAAAAGAAAGAACTATTTCAGTGCTTTCCTGAAACATTATTTTATACACATACATTAATGTAGATTACAACCAGGAAATATCAATCAAGAGCTAGTCGCTTCACTTTGAGTTTCTGTTTGACAGAGGGGTTGGATATCTTAAGTCTTCTTCCATTCTGAACATCTGTTCTGCAAAACCTCCAATTCTGGATACTGACAACTCTTTTCCTCCCTTAGACTGAAGCAACCTCGCGCTAGGAAGATGCTAGAGGAAGGAGTAATAGTTGCTTTGGGCAGTGACTTCAACCCTAATGCCTATTGCTTCTCAATGGTAATTATTTTTAATATGCCTTTCTGAGCAGAATATTGAACTTCTACCAAGCATATAAATAATTTAGAACTATTTCTGTTAAAATGTATTCAAACATCAAAAACTATTTTCCCATGAAACAAGAAACAAAGATATAAACAGTAGTATAATTGAATTTTTCTGCACATGTGAATGCCTCCAGTCATAAAGAAAGGAGAATTATTTTCTGATTTAGCCTTGGGTGTTGTGGTTTAGCACTAACCCATTTTCCCCCTGGGAGAGCAGGATAAGCTCAAGGAAGTTTTAGTAAGGAAGCGTGGAGTGGAACTTCATTGTATACAGTAGGTGGTCTTGAAAGGTTGTACATAAATATTAAATACACATGGGGACAATCTCTATAGTAGAGGAATCTTTTCTAAAGCACAAGAACCTTTATGTGTAAGTTTAAATCTTCCCATAGCAGTCTAGTTTTTTCCACCTACACATTTTACCTCCATCATTTGCTGTGCTGTGCGGAGAAATGTCCCATGTAGCAGTTGCCATTTTGTTACTTTCCTCCAACGCTTCCTCTCCCTCCTCAGCCAATGGTCATGCACCTGGCCTGTGTAAACATGCGGATGTCCATGCCGGAGGCCTTGGCCGCCGCCACCATCAATGCAGCGTATGCGCTGGGAAAATCTCACACCCATGGATCTTTGGAAGTTGGCAAACAGGGAGATCTCATTATCATCAATTCATCCAGGTAAGTGCTCCCTCAACTAAGCTATTCTATGCCCATTGTAGTATACAGACCTGTTTAAATCCCCTTTTTACTAATTACTAGTGCCAGGCTCCGTGTAGGCGCAGGAGCTACTTGGTTCCCTCTATCTTCATCCTTTTATAACAAAGTCCCCCTACAGGCCCTAAACTACAGGGCACACTAAGTTTCCGGTCTTTTCGTCCATCTCACACCTTTCATAGGTCTCCAGGCTTCTCCCTGTCTCCCTGGACTCTGGACTTGTTGTGCCCTCTGGCATGTGTTTTTGTTTTCCCACCTGACTTTTGACCTTCTGGCTATGCTGGGGCTCATATGTCTCAACTTCAGCTTGTCCCCTCGTTCTGATTCATTACTGCTGTAACTTCTTTCTCTTAGGAGACCCCAAAATCTTTGCTTCAGTCTTTCTGCCCTGGTTTCCTATTACTTACCCCCCTCCTGCTGCCGTCTGGGTCTCCCACATGCCAGGTTGAGTCATATTGTTCTAAATCTTCAATCCTTGACTCTAGTGAACCTATCATAGCTCTCAGATCTCATGTTCAACAGAAGAGAGTGGCTCTATAACTTCTATTCTCCGGGGTCATTTTCAATGACCTCTACCTACACTGAAAATAATACTGATGTTACCATTTGTGCATTACTTAATTGAAGCAAATATTTTAAGATCAAATACTTAAATGATATTGTTAAACATTACTTGATTTATCATAGGCTAATTAGAAATATGCTATTTTTTTAAATCTCAAGTATCAATGACTAGGTATAAAGAAATATTTAGAAAATATATTTTTAAGTTAGCATTTAATGACAGTAATAATTTTGACTTGTATGTATTGAAGCAATGTTTGATTTCTTTCTAGATGGGAGCATTTGATTTACCAGTTTGGAGGCCATAACGAATTAATTGAATATGTTATAGCTAAAGGAAAAGTCATCTATAAAAAATGACAGATCTTAAAGGAAAGAGAAGACTCTTCAATTGCATAAAATACATCAATACAGTTATATAAAAATATAAAATACCTTAGTAGTTTACCAAAATGATGTCACTTAAATGTAAATGTATTTCAGTGTTTTGTTAATCCACTCATAAAACCCAAAGGATTCATTTATTTCCATTTAATGTGCATGGGGACATAGACACAGGTAAACCAACTGTGATGATCCTCTCAAAACATTAAACTATCTCACAAAGATTTGTCATAAATATTCTGAGGGTTAATATGATGAATTAGTAAAAGAACATGTTTGTGGGGAAAAAGCAGATTGGCAGGTAGATGTGGCTTGAAATTCCCATTTTGTTTCTGCTTTTCAAATTTCAGTTCAGCACTCTCCAGTGAAGATTGGGGGATGCAGGGAAATCCAAGGGCTATGTTCCAGGTTAAGCTAAGACGCAGGCTTTCTGAAACAAGCGAATAGCTTTTCCTGTCCCCACCCAGTCTGTCTTTCTAGATGCTTTTTGAATACATCAGGGTCCTTCCATTTCGAATTTCTTTTCAACTTTAGCTCGAAGCAGACTTCACAGCACAGCTCAGGACTTCCTGTGATGAATGCATGTTGACCAAATCCAATCATGTAACTTTTAAAATTGTTTTTCAGTTTTTGATTCTTCACATTACCAATGTTTAGAAAACATGTTATAACTCTTAATAAGAATGTGCTGTCACTACTATTGTGGTTGTTTCCTTACGGCGCTGGAGGTAGAGCAGTGGCCTTGCCTATTAGAGCTTTTTAGGAAATAAACAAATCATGGAATTACTTGTACAGAGTGGATGATTATTTACATATATAAATAGTTGTTTCAGAAGCCATGAGAGTTTACTTGAAATCTTTTAAAATGTTTTAATCATCTTTATGATCACCACTTTATTATCAAACTTTGTCCTATTTATGAAGAAACAATTTGAAGAGTAAATGATAATGATGCAAATTATCACCCATTTCAGGTTAATAGAGGCTGAATCAATGAGGCTTTACCATAGTCAGTATAAATCAAATTGAGATACCCCTGTTGGAATGTTAAGGGTAACATGGCATGTTGCTGTCACCACCAATTTAGCACGGGGGGCTCTGGCTCTCTTCCTCATAGGCTTGGCAAAGGAGTCTTGAGGGGGTGTGGGATCACCTAGTCAACGGTGGGAATTTGGGATTACAAGATAGATACAGAGGCCAACACTAGGGATTAGGACTATCCTGGAACCCAAGCCACGCAGAAGTTTATCCTTGTGCGGATGGAATAAGAAGGCGAAGTGCATCCTATTTCCCTCTAGGAGATAGTCAGTCAAAACAAACGGCACTCATGTCTTTTTTTTGAAGGAAAGCAGAAGAGGATGCCCCCCAGGAGCCGCCTTAGCGCCGCCAGGCCAGTGTCTAGTAGTGAGCTCCTGCAACTCGAGGGAGCTTGCTCCAAACTCCAAACATCAGCCCGCCCCCAAACCTGCTGAATTAGAGTCTGCATCTTAAGAAGTTCCCCATTGATTTGTATGCCCATTAAAGTCTGAGAAATGCTGCAGCCTAAGACCCCAGCCAAATTTCCACTCTGTTCCTCAGAAATACCCATCTGTGTGTGCTATTCGGGCCTCACAGTGCTGTTCCCATTGCCTAGAATGTTGCTCCTCTCTTTTCTAGGTGGAAATCAGCGCTAGTCACTCTCCACCCAACATGCCCCCTTACCTCAAATACAGTTTTTATACCATTGTAATTTATAGTGTGAGTTAGTAGAGGGCAGGGGCCTCGTCGTGTCCCCAGGATCTAGTATGGGGGACTGGTTCATAGCAGGTGATCAATAAATGAATTAATGAATGGCTGCACAGACACACAGATTGTCACAGTAAAAATTAATTATCAAAATACACTAAGCAGGCCGACGTGGAGATGCGGTTATTCTGTGGACTGGAAAGAGCATATGAGTTCCTTAATACAATGTGCAAGGATGATGCTCATGGGGGAGCCAAGTGTTAAAATAAAACCAAAGAAACAGTTTCAAGGCTGGGTGGGAGGACAGTGCCGAGACAGAAAGGCTCCAAGATGGAACATCACGAAATGAAGACGGATGATGAGTCTTTCTAGAGCAGAGTGTTCAGTGGGAGCTAAGGCTACAAGGTGAGGTCAGTTTTCACAGGGCTTTGAATGTCAGGCTCACTGGTCAGGACTTAGTTAGTTGGGCATTGTCCCACAAAACAAAATGTTGCCGGTTCGATTCCTGGTGTGGGCATATGCCCAGGTTGCAGCCTGGTCCCCAGTTGCGGTCTGGTCTCTGTTTGGGGCATGTGTGAGAGGCAACCGATCAGTGTTCCTCTCACACGGTGATATTTCTCTCCCTCTTTCTCCCCCTTTCCTTCTCTCTAAAAATAAATAAATAAAATCTTCAAAAAAAAAAAAAAATAAAGTCAGGGAAAGCCACTAGATGTTTCTGAATAGGTTAGACCCAGGATGAGAGTGTTGTTGTAGAAATATTAATCTGGTTTCAGTGTACATAGCAGGCGCTCAAATATTTGCTGTGTGAGTGGACTCTGGCAAGGTACTTTGAACAAGTCCTTCAGCGGAGACAGTGGGAAACCTCAGGGGCTAGATGTCCAGGCAGACAGTGAGATGTGAACACTCTAATCTGTGCTCCACGTTGGGCTAGATTAATATTTATTCTCTCAACCTCTTAAAATTATTGGGCCACCCTCCCAGGAGAAAAATTAAATTTCTTTCTAAGAAGTAAGATTTTGTCAGGCAGGGTTGAGTTTTGGAAGACCACAAACCATTGTGACGTGTAAGGGTTTTTTTGCCTCCCCCAAACCAATGTTGCCCCCTTGGTGGCAACATCAGCCCCGTTGAGGATGCATGCGCCAGACATGAGCAGACAGGTGAGGCGACATGGTACACCGAAAGGAACACAAACCTGGGACTTGATATCTGGGCTTTGCTTTTCTTTCTAACTCTTTATCTGTAGAGGTTGGATTCCCTCCAACTCTGAAATTCTGCTTTGAAGGTTGGACTTGCCTTCAGGGAATTACGATCCAATTACGGCAGTAAGACGGACATTAAAGAGTAGAACAAAGGCAGACAGTACTAAGAGCTGGTTATCTTAAAAGGTTAAACACAGTGATTTTTAAATTTAAATTAGTTTTTCCAGATTCCCCTTGGCCCCCATGCATGAGCATCTTGGTAAGTAGAGGGATAGAGGCAATGCCAGCCTCTTGGAAAGATATTTTTCTGATGGGAAGTTATTCCAATATCGGAAGGCACGTGATTTCCAGTAGGTTCTACTGAAGCTACTTCAGGTATGGGGAACCTGGCACCCAGACGGTAGAGCCCACCAACGAGCCAGAGCAAGCTGTCCTTGCTCAACACACCGGTGAGCTCTCAGAGGGAGTCTGTCCTGGTGGAGCTTCGCTTCCCCTACTGTCCCATTTGCATGGATTCTCATGCTCTCGATGACCTGGCCTCTGCTTACTTCCCAGACTTCTCATCTTACTGCTACATGTTGCTACCACTGGTTCATCCTCCAGCCCACTGCCTAGGCTTCAGGGCAGGGACCAGCATTATGTTGGTCACCATTTGTTTAGTGATAGAAATGGACAGGACATAGAATTGGTTTCTTGGCGTCGATGTCTGCTGAGACTCAAGTTTAGCTTACATTTCTTCTCTCCTCTCTCCGACTCCCATCACTTAAAGCCCAGCTTAGTCCCCTCTTCTGGGATGCCTCCCTGATGACCTGAAGGCACTGCAGTTACTGTGCCTTCCTCAGGACACATGCTCGGTAAGTAATTGTCGTTTCATGCCCCCAACTAGATGGAAAGTCTTCGATGACAGGACCACATGCTGTACTGATGCACCACAACCCTGGGACAGTACCTCACAGACAGTGAACGTGTTAGGCAGAATGCTCACAGCTACAAGTATCAGAACCTGACCTAACCTGGCTTAAGCAATGAGGGAGTTTATTGGCTCTCCCATGGAAATTTCACAGGAAGAGGAGGTGCCAGGACTGGTTTATTTAGAAGTTCAATAACGCTGAAGACACAGATTCCTCCCTTCCCTCTGCTCTGCCGGCGGGTGCTGGTGCTGCCCCGAGCCCGCTTTCCAGCCTTGGGCTGGGCTGGCTATCTGTAAGCTTGGTTGCTCCATGGCCTCATTCACATCAAGCAGGAGGGTGAGAAAGGCTGGCTGCCACGGTTCTGCAGAGAGAACAGGTTCTCAAAGTCTACAGTAAAACTCTTCTCTCTCATTGGCCCGCATTGCAACCTCAGCCCTTCCTTAACTAATCACTAAGCAAGGAGAATAGGAATACCTTGAGACTAACCAGGCCTTCTCCCTGAGCTGAAATGAATGTCCACCAACTTTTTTTCTTTTTTTAAATCCTCACCAAAAGATCTATTTATTGATTTTAGTGGGGTGGGGCAGAGAGAGAGAGAGAGAGAGAGAGAGACACCAATGTGAGAGAGAAACATCAATCGCTTGCCTGCTGCGAACACCCCAACCAAGGATTGAACCCACAACATAGGCATGTATCCTGACTGGGAACTGAACCTGCAACCTGGTGGTGTATGGGACGGCACTGCAACCAATTCATCCACCCAGCCAGGCTCCATCAACTCTCTATCTCTCTCTTCTTTTTTTTTCTTGGTTTTGTGTTTTGGTATATTGTCAATGTTTAAATTTAGTAAATACCTTCAGCAGAAGCAACCCCCCACATGCAAAGTGATCATGCTCTTCATGAAATAATTAGGTTTAACAAAAATATAATAATCCAGCAACCAGATCCAGAAATGAGACACAAGTTTATAGTATGAAAAGTATCTTTTTTCAAAATGTTCAGGGTATGTATGAGATTTTATGTGTGTGGCAGATCATTAGAGTAACGGTCCCCAAATCATATGCCCATGCCCTTGAGTATTGCTCTCCCCAATTCACCTTGACCTGCTTTGGCCAACAGAAACAGCAGAAGCTCGGAAAACCCTGGCACTTTGGGGCTTCCCCTCTGGCTGCCACGAGACAGCAGGAGAAGCCAGGTGAGCCTGCTAGGGAGGTGGTCATGGTGCCTCCAACTCTTTTGCTGCTTCTCAATGGGAAAGGGAGAGAGAGAGACTGAGTCAATCACATTTTCTTTTTTGCAGGTGAACATTCATTGACTACATCTCTGAGAAACCTGATTAACCGTAGCTAGAATAGCCTTTCCCTAAAAAGGTGTTAAACTTTGTTTTAAAAATCTGAGAATACAGAGACAACATAAGACAGTTGAGTTTAGTCCATATTTACATTGACACTCTCTTGAAGGCATGTGATGTTACCAAGAGAGTTGTATTTTTAAAACAAACCTCAAAACAAAGAGCCTCTGAGGAGCACAGGGGCCTGTGGGATCCAGCACTCCCCAAACTGGAGTGGAAAACAGCCATCCGACAGCTGGGCTTACTGGCTCAGCTGCAGCCCGCAGGTAAGAATGAATCAACTTCATTTGTGTGTGGGTGTGGGTTTGCCTGTCAGCAAAGGACAGCATCGAGAACAACCTTTTGGCAAACAATTTGCTCAGCACCTTTTTTGTTCACTGAATATCTGTAGTTTCGACTCCTGCCCCGACCTTTCCAGAAGACAGATTGCGGTCTAGAGTGAGGACTCTCTTGCGCAGTGTGCTGTTTGACCCAGTTTGGCTGTAATCAGGGAGGCAATCTGGCAAGTGTGCCTGTCCTTTCCTTAACCACCTGCAGGGTTTAGTCATAGGGTTTCAGACTCCTGCACTAGGCAAGCCTTGCACCCATTCGCGCAGATGGGTGAGAAGTCACAGGTTAT